GAAAGATATTTTATATCTCTCCTAACCCAATTTGTTTCATTCGCTATTGTAAGGATTTCTTACCTTTATCTCTTCCCACTTGATCAATTTGTTGATAAAAGCCAAAATAGATGATTTTAGTAAAAGAAGAATTGGGCTGAACTCGAATTAATAGCGACCATATCCAAGGCCTGAATCAACCGGGCCAGTCGGGTATGGACTTTGGACCTAATAAATGTTTCTATGAAAACGATTTCCACATTTTCAGTTTCAGTATCTTCTCTTTTCAGTATCTTCTCTTTGGCATTGCTTGTTATTGGCATTTGCATTTCCTGCTTCGTACTCGACGCATCCCGTTATTCCCTTTTGGGGCTTCGCTCTCTCACTCTCTGCTTTATTTGAAAGCTCACGAATCAAGGACTTTCGGTATTGCTTTCATCCCACATATTTTTTTCTTATTCCGGTCGATCTCCGTTTGATTGTTATAGACTTTTAGCTGCAGTATTTGATTGATCTGCTAATCGCCTGCAAGATCGTGCCATTTTTTTGAGTTTGGTTGTTAAATCTGCTTCATACTTTTCATTGCTGTGAAGGTTTTGTTGAGTCTTTTTCTTTGAATCAGTCTTAGTTGTGTTTAGATGGAAAGAACTATGGATATGCGTTTTTTTTTTTAAATAAGTTGTTTTCTGTGATGCGTGTTTATTGGTTAGTTTTTTATGGATTGAAGATCTGTAAAACAAAGATACGTTAGATTGTGAGTTAGCTTTATGCTGGAAAAAAAGGTTTGTTTCTTACATATATGCCTTTATGTTATGGTTTATTTCGGTCAAAGTTGTCTAAGAAGTTGAGTATTCATATTCAAATTTTGTTCGGCTTTTTTGGGTTAGGCAAACATTTTGATGATACCTACTCTTATGTTTCAGTGTAATTTCTAAATATACTTGCAAGAAGTGCTTTCTCTCAGGTTTCCTTTATGTTGTCATCAAAGGATCCTTAGTTTTATCGATTCCTTGAAAATTATGTGCAGATGGCCATGCAGGAAGGAAGTCCTGCCAATATTCATACTCCTAGTGCTCAAGTTGTCGGAAATGCTTTTGTGGAGCAGTATTACCATATCCTTCACCAATCACCAAATCTGGTGCATAGATTTTATCAAGATTCAAGTCACTTAAGTTGGCCTGATTTGTATGGCAACATGACTACAGTAACAACAATGCAAGTAAGTTAGGAGTTGAGATATTTTTCTATACGAGCATGCATGAGCATACTGTTATCAAGAATTCAAAACTGTATGGCCTCTGTGCGGGAGATGATGCTTCTAGACTAAGCTGATGACAGGTTATAGAAAAATTTGTTATAAAGTTTATTGAAAAATTCTTCAAAAAACATGGATATTCATTTTATTTTAGTTGCATATGTTAAACTTTAGTGATGGGTATTTTATCAAGTGTTTGTTTCTGGAGCCATTTGATGTAGTAATATTAAATTTTATAATTTGAATACCTTTTTTATATAACCATAACCTATCTTTAACGTGGTTTTATTGAATAGTCTACTTATGTTTTCTCTGGAGCAGGCAATTAATGAGAAGGTGCTATCGCTGAATTACGAGGACTACACAGCAGAGATAAAAACTGTGGATGCTCAGGACTCTTTTGAGAAAGGGGTCATTGTAGTGGTAACTGGATGCTTAACGGGAGAAGACAATATCATAAAAAAATTCACTCAAACCTTCTTTCTAGCTCCACAAGACAAAGGGTACTTCGTCTTGAATGATGTTTTCAGGTACATTGAAGACACAGAGCTGCAAAACACTGTTCCGGTTAATGTTGTCAGTGAACAGGGTCCAATATCTGTCCCGACACCTGAACCAGGTTTGACCTGAATCGATTTTTGCATTGTGGTAATGTTTTTACTATGCTCAAATCATGGAATTGCTTAAATTTTGCATCTAGGGCCCCCTCATGACCATCTTGTGGAGGACCCATTAGCTAATCCGGAAGAGGAAGATATTAATAATGGTGCTGAAGTTTGTGACCCTTCAGATGAGGAGGAAGGATCGGTAATTGAAGAGGAGGTTGTTGTACCCCAAAACGTTGCCAGTCAGAATGAGAGTGTTGTGGCTGATGAGTCAGCTCCTGCGGTTCTAGAAGATGCTCCAAAGAAATCGTATGCTTCAATTGTGAGTTAATGTTGACTCTTTTTATTCTCCGTTCATTTTTTGGTGGTTCTTTTGATGTATAATTGAATTTACTTAATTGTATATTAGGTCAAAGTGATGAAAAGTAGTACACCATCTGCTCCTGTCCATGTAACTACCAGAAATGTGAAGGCTGCACCTGCAGAGCAACAGTCAACCGTTTCTGCAAAACCTGCTCCAACAACACCAACGGTAGCAGTTCCTAATAGTGATAATGCAGTTGAAATTAGCAATGAGAATGAGGAAGGTAATTGTTAATTTCATTTGACACATGATACTAGAGCAGCTGTTCTCTGTGTTGCTCCAACTCTTCTTATTTCATGAAGTATCCGTGTCCAACGTGTATCTGGACATGGGTATGGTGATATGACCTTTTAATCCCCCAAATACATGGAAACATTTAGAAAATAAATAAAACACCCGTTTTGAACAAATACCCATATTTGACGCCTGCATTTAAATCCGAGTAACATTTGTTGTTTTATTTATTGATGAGGTTAGATCCACATATTTTATATTTTAATCAATTATCCAACAAGGGAGTAAAGAAGCCATACTTGATTTTGGCATGTTTAATATTATGGCTTACAGTTTTTCTCTTTGATATGCTTGATGCATATTCTTTCATGTTTTTAAATATACACCTTGTGTGCTTTGTTACCTAAGCTGAAGGACACTCCATATATGTACGGAATTTGCCTTACAATTCAACACCTGCACAACTTGAAGAGGCTTTCAAAAAATTTGGGCCCATTAAGCACAATGGCATCCAAGTCAGAAGTAATAAGGTTAACAAAGATATCAGTTTCTCTTTCCTTTTTGACATTTCTAGTTCAAGTTCTTACTGTTTTTATGCATTTCTTGCTTCCTGCAGCAGGGATTCACTTTCGGTTTTGTTGAATTTGAGACTCCGAGTTCAGTGCAGAGTGCACTCGAGGTATCTCTCATACCTCTTATCACTGCTGTTATAAATGTGGTGCCATCATGATTACCATTGTGTCACTCTTTCATTCAATCACCTACACGAAAAATGTTTCATGATTTTAGTCAACCAAATAACTGCTGTATGTGTGGCTCCTCTTAAAATTGAAACAGAAATGTACTTGTTTATCAGATTAAGCTCTCTTCAACTGTAGGATTTCCTGAAACAAGAAATTGATACATACTTGAAGTCTGATGCGGGGAATATGTTCCTATAAGGACTCTCTCAGTACACGGAAATCTTGGAACAAAGAAAAAAATTGCACATACCCGTGTCTAACATTCCCAAGTCCAACTAACATAGCTGACTTATCTTTCATTTCTTTTGCTACTTTTGGGCAATATATAGCCATGAAGCAGGCACCTTGTACCAAGTCTTGTTCGTTTACATCTGATATTCTCCTTAGCCTTATGTTAGTTCATCTTTCGTTTTGTACTCATTTGCAGCCTTGTTGAATTAAGTTGGATTGAAAGCTTAAAGCAATCAAATGTAAACTTGTATTTTATGGATGTCATAAAAATTACACTAATGAGTATACCTGGTCTACAATTCTGAGATTCTAAATCAAAGGTTTAATGACGATCATCCTTTATTCTCCCCTTTCTCAGCTGTTGTTGATTTTGTTGCAAAATTTAACTATGATATTAGTCAGGGGCCTCTGCTCCGTGTTTTATGCGAGCATGTAACGTATTTTGAATTTATGGTTGTGCTGAATGGCATTTCAGGCCTCACCGATCACAATTGGAGACCGTCAAGCTGCTGTGGAAGAAAAGAGGACAAGTACTCGAGGTAATTCAAATTTATTTGGGAGAAGCGCCTTCGACACTATTTATTTAAAAAAATCCATTTTTTTACTAATAATATTGTTTTGCACGAGTTGAACTTTTTAGTTCATCCAATGATTGTACTGAGATTAGGAAAATATGTTCTCAACTGCGTGGCTATTATGCAAAATGTTCTGTGTGTGTATAATATTTAATATATACTTCAGAAAACTGCTGCTTTGTGCAGTTGGTAGCAGTGGAAGAGGTAGGTATGCATCAGGTAAAGGCGTGTTTCGGAGTGACAGTTTCCGTGGTCGAGGGAACTTTGGCAGTGGCCGAGGAGGCTATGGCAGGAATGAATTCAGAAACCAGGGTGAGTTTTCGGGTCAACCCAAAGGTCCAGGTGGATGGAACGGAGACAGTTATCAGCTGGCTAATCAGAACGAAAGGGGTGGCCATCAAGGTGTGGCCCCGAAACCCTGATTTTATTTGTTTTCAGACATTAGCCGAGAAAGTGACCAGGTATTTTTTGACAGTATAAACAGATTAGGAGCTAAAGATTCAAAGTTTTATCTTCACAAATTTTAACTGTTACGAGTGAGTTAACTATTTTGACATTCTTTGATCAATTTTTTTATTTGATGATATGCTCTCATATCTTTCCTTATTGCATACATTTATTGACGTGAAAGCATCAAACAATAGCTTATGCATGAATTATAGACGGTGTAGTCATAAGAAGCTTGAGCTTGAACCGAAATTAGTGGCTTGAAACTCGGATCAAGTTTGAGCTCTTCGAACTTGACTTGGTAGAGTTTTTCATGCTAAATATAATAGGTAAATAACGTGAGAAAAATGGAAAATTAAATAAATTCTATCAAGATAAAAGCATCTACATGTTCTTTAACTCGATGAATCAAGGAATAACAATAGGAAAAAATCTGCAGAACTACACGAAAGGTAGTGAAATAAGCACGCACAAACTTGTGCTAACGTAGAATCCATAGTGCTTGAAAAACAAATCATGTGTAACAGTGTAAGCCATTTGAGTCATTCATTCCAATCCAGTGTTCTTTCAAGAGGTGGCACTGGCAGTGCAACAAGAGAAGCAAGCGTACCATTTTTTGGGTTCTCCATTTCTGGTTGCATTAGGTGTCTGAGGCTTTGTGGTACCCGAAGGGCTCTCTTGGGTTGTTTCTTTAGGGGACCCTAGCTTTGATGTTTCTGTGGTTGCCTCTGTTTCGTTAGCTGTTTCTGGGGTTGTCTCTGTTTTGTTAGCTTCTTCTGAAAGTGTCTCTGGGGTTTCAGTGGTGGAGCACTGTGACTGTTGGTTTTGTTCCTCTGTACTCTGTGTCGTCGATCTGTTTTTATCTGCATCTCCTGTCAATCTTCGTCACAATTTAAGAATAAATCAGCATGTTACTGCAATACAATAGGGTACCTGCAGTTTCTTAAATGTACGACTCAAGGTTTTGCATTATCAAAACCCGAAACCTAAAAACGAAGGCCGGAAAGATTCAGTTTGAGAAGTGAGAGCTTACATAGGGAAGGCAAAAGGTTTGACACTTGCATCAGTTGGCTCTTGATCAACATCGCCCTCTTGCCTCTTGGTGCTGGGATTCTGCTGCTTCTGATTCTCGAGGCATAGAGAGAGAGTTCTTTATTAACGCTGTGTTTACGAACCCGAGGTTCTTTCTCCTTCTCTGTTTCGGCTGCTTCTGCTTCGCTTTTTCCATCACAGCCCTCACTAATTTCAGCAGCTGTCTGATCCTTACATGGAGCATCCAGGAGCCGACCGGAGTTTGTGGGATCGAAATCGATATTCAGCTCACCCGATTTTGATGTCAGATTCATATGGTCGCTTGTGAAACTCGTGTTCCCTGTCCGGATACTAAACAATGAATCACTGTTCAAGTTACCACCATGCCTGGCAAATTCAGTAGCTGACATATTGTCCCATGGGGTGCCTGGCGGCAAAGGACTGGAAAGCGCGGAATCACAACCATAACAGAACTCGCCCGATTTCGACATCAAATTCAATTGTTCTGCTGTGAAACTCATGTTCCCCGTGTGAAGGCTAAACAATGACTCATTGGAACGCAAACTCCATTCCCTTGTAGCTGCAGTAGTTGTTCTAGCAAAGACATGAGAAGGGGTCCTCTCCGAATCTTCTGTAGGTTGTTCCTCGGACGGTGTTCGAGGAACCGGTGTGGCCAGATCATCGTCACTGGGTTGTCTGTTTACGGAAATAGAGCTAACCAGACTACATTCACCCAGATGTCCACCGGATGATGATGAATGCGAGGGGTCTGTCGGCTTTTTGTCCACCGATATTTGAGGACTTTCACTCGGAGTAGCGTCTTGGTCCAGATTTAAATCACTGCCGGTATCATGAACTCCACTCATATTTCCAGATTCCATGGCCGATGAAACGCCTAAAATTTCATGGCCCTTCACCATCTCAATACCAGAAATTCATGCTGTAATAGGAAATTTAAACACACAAATGAATGACAAACATGAAATAATTTCTTGCGGAATTCCCAGGTAGAACCCATCCATCGAAAACAACAATTCCTTGTTCAGCGTGGATAATCTCTCAACAAATTCACCAATTAATCGTTAATAAACAAGAAAATCTCGTAGATACGTGTTGAACATATGAATCCAAACCACATCAAGAAACAAACAGAGCAATAAATCGAATCAAAATAGAACGATATAGCCAATTTAAAACTTTCAAATTCTTAAAAAACAAACAACTTCTCGATGAATCATAATCAAACGAGTCTTCTTTCGATCTCTCATCGATCAAGACAGAAACAACGAAGCCTCGAAATTAAAAATATAATAAAAACAAGAATCGAGAAACAAGTAAACTGGAGAATATAAGAGAGGAAAGGTTGAAGGGCCTGCCACTGGTGTAGGCAATTTATGTGTCTGTTTTATCTATACTAATAACGAACTTTAGCCGCCAAAAAACTAACATATTTATATACGTTTAATAACAAAATTGATTTGTCAAAAAATAATAAAAAAATTGAATTCGTATGTAATTATATGATTTTTAAATAAAATAAACCAATAATTCGATACGAATTTGACATATTTTGATTAATTATATTAGATTGTCTAAGTTGAACGTTAACATGATGATTGAGATATGATAGACGTTTGAGATTATGAGATTAGATTTTATCATATTACAATTAGTAGATTAACGTTTAACTCATAATACCGTTAATTTCTTAACGAAAAATGATGAGTTTTGAACATAATAAATAGTCGGGTGACCATTTTTTAACTTTTAATAGTCAAATGACTTAACAAAGCAACACTCTAGTGAAATGACCATTTTATATTTTTTTAATAATCGAGAAACTTTATAAAAACGTGTTTTGTTTTACTAAACTTGAGTAAGTACAAAGTAATACCTATTTTAATCTAAAAATTAAAATGAAAAAAAAAACTTAAAATTCATCAGGACTGAGTGGGGTATATATTTTCGGATCGGGATCGAGGCAGCAAAAAGTACCTGTCCACCCCGTGCCTATTCCTACTGAAACGAAATGAAAACTAAACTTAGGTATGATTTTTAAAAAAATGAAAGTTTAAGTACAGAACGAACTAAACTAAAAGTAATTTACCTAATATATTTTGATAATGAACGCCTCAATTTCGCCCGCCTACATAAACCCTAGGGTTTTGCATTCTGATACAAACCCGAAAGAAAGGATTTTCAGTTCTATACAACCCTTGGGTTTCTTTTTGACTCTGCTCATTTAACCGACTGTTCGTTTTGGAGGTGTTTCTTTTGGTGTTCGTGTCGTTTAAGGTGTTTCCCTTCTCAATTTTTCTTGTAGTATTATATTATTGTTTTAATATTTCATTTTAACATGTAATGATATGCTTGTTTTTGGACTGCTCAAGATCAATGAAATGCCTTGATTTTTTTGGGGGAATGATCGAAGAACAGAGCTGTTTATTAGAGAAATTTGAGAAATGGGTCTTTTCCCCTTTTGGGTTCTCAAACCCATAAGTTTGAACATCGTGAATTAGGGTTTTAGATTTTACATTATAATATTGGATCACATATTTTGATGTATTTTTTTATCTTTGTTGATGGCTCTCTCTTCTGCATTTCTTTACAAGCTATATCTGTTTAGTACAATAATTCGATATGTCATAGATTTTAAAGCATTCTAACGGTGGGTCTTCTAGTCCTTGTTGTGTTTGTATATTTTATGGGTCTGATCTGTTTGTTTGTTTGTTTTCTAGGGCGTGACAATGACTATCTTTAGTAAATTTGGGAGTATACTTAGGCAGGCCACAAGTATGCAGGTTAATGCTAAGTTGTCAGTATCGAAACCGGGCCTCTTTCAAGTATTTAGAAGCATGTCAATGTCGCCGAGCTCGAAACTTTTTGTTGGAGGTCCGTCGAATTTTCCACATAGCGCACGAGTCATTCTACATTCTCTGATTTTTCTTTGGCCTTCTCATGATCATTTTTTTAATTGCAGGTATTTCCTACCAGACGGATGAACAAAGTCTGAGAGAAGCTTTTAGCAAATACGGTGAAGTTATCTATGGTACGGTATCCTACATTCAACTTTCTAGTATCGTGGTAAACAGAAAAGTCTCGAGATGCTTTAATTTTAGTGTCCACATTTTTTATGAAGTATATAAGCCATGTAGTATGAACGTTTTAGGTATCTTCTGTTTGCTGGTTTGGACTTTGTAAACTGTTGATTGATTTTATACTTCGTGTAGCAAGAGTAATTGTGGATCGGGAAACGGGCAGGTCGAGAGGGTTTGGCTTTGTCAGTTACACAAGTACTGAGGATGCTTCCAGTGCTATACAGGCCTTGGATGGACGGGTAAATATGTAAAAAGTATATAGGTTTTTAAGATTTTCACATTACTTTAATCGATGCTATTTGGACTCGAATGCGAGTGTCGGATATAGTTATATGTGTCCAACACAAGTGTTCGGTTATGTGTTGAATGTTCACAGGCTTTACATAGTAGCTGAAGTTGTCATATCCGTAGGGATGATTTGTGGGAATTTTTGGTCGACAGGAACTCGATGGCCGTCAAGTAAAAGTAGCCTATGCAGATGAGAGACCTCCTCGCAACTTTGGATCTGGAGGTTTCAACAGCGGCGGCGGATATGGTAGTGGCAGCAGCTACAGAGATGGCAGTGGAGGCTATGCCAGCAACAATGGTTTCTCTTCTGGAAATTATGGAGCTAATGCCGGATATGGCAACACCGCTGGAGGTGGCAGTGGTTATGGTGGCCAAGGAAATTACGGTGGCGGTAATAACTATGGCTTTGATGGTGTTGGTTATGGAAGCAATTTTGATCAATCCGGTGAGGGTTTCGCTACCGGTGGTTCAGCCGGATATGAAGGTAACAGAATGGGATTTGCCGGCGGCGAAGGCGGGTTCAAAGTAGAAACAGGGGGAGATCATGAGGGAAATGATGCACAGAACACAAGAAATGAAGAGTTTGACTTTGCCAAGAGGGCATGAAATAGAGTGTTTGAACTTTGAGGTCTTAACATAGTTCTCTAATGGTGGATTTGTTTTGGTTTTAGTGTCCGGTTCTCTGAACTAGTTCTGTTCGTCATTTTATGTGTTGTAAACCTTCGTACTTTTTGAAATTTAGTAACCAAAATGAAAATAGGATAAAAGTTGAATGATTAAATTCATAATTTACCCTATATTAAAAAATATATAAGGGAATATAGTAAACATATTAAAAGTATTCTCCACGTGTCTTATTCTCATTGCAAAACACCCAGCTTCCTTGTATAACCTCACTACAATGACGTTTTCCAAACGACGGTTGTTTTGGAATAAATAACATTCAGTCATTGAACTTGACAACTTCTTGTAATTTGATCCTTGAATATCTTTTAGACTTTAGTTCATATTAGTTACAAATTTAGATTTTTAATTGTTTTAGTGATTTGATATTTTAATGTCGTGCAACATGACGCGATTTCAGGATAAAACATCATAAAAAGGATAAAATTGAGAAATGTTTCAAGTTTTGGACTAATTTGGAAAAAATGCTGAGGGACCAAATTGGGAAATGTTACCGAGTTTAGAGATTAGATAATGTTTTATCCCTTGATTTATTGTTCCACCCTTCCTTTCAGGTTCGACTCCACACCTCAGCTTCGTTTACACCAAACCTTACCTTCCGATCAAAAACCTCATATTTGCTACTCAGTCCTCACTGATCGTTGAAACACTCGCTCTAATTGAACTCAGCTCAACTCACCCATCGAGCGAAAAAAGATAGTCCCTTTCGCTTTCGAACTACTATTTTTTTCTTTTGCCACAATTTTCAAGCAATTCCAAAGGCTTTCACTACGTTACTGTAAGCCCACTTTTTCTGTGCCTCTCCTCGAGACGCTGAACCTCCGTTAGGGCTCCGGTGTTCTAGGGCTGGACCTGGGCAGCTATGTTATTTGTATTGTCGTTTTAGTTGGAGCGGGAATTGCTTGCTGGTGCTTCGGTATTTTGTTCCCTTGGTTATTGTTTTTTATATTTTAACGTATTTTTTTTAGTTTTAGCATCTGTTTGGTTGCCTAGAAAATGGAGGATACTGAGGAATTTTATTTTGAACAATTTCAAAGTTTAAATTGAGCTAAAGTTCTGATTGTTCTGTCCTTACTATCTTTATGCCGTTACTATCTTTATTGATTTGGTTTCTAATTTTAATTTTATCTAACGAGGGATTCATATGATTATCTGCTCTGTAATGGAATTTCAGGCATGTGAAAACTTTTAACATTATTCTTATTTCTTGTAGGTAATGGTTTAAAGTTAAGTTTCTGAATGTTTTGGCTTGGATTATCTATGCCTGCCGACGAAGTTGGAGCCGGGATCCGTAATTTCCTAGACCAAGAGAGTTTGTCCCGCTACCAGCAGCAATCACTGGTAATTGATAGTAGCTTCCCTGGCTTAAGTAACAATCTGTGGGTTGGAAGCCAGAGACAAGCTGGTGGGCCTGTTGTTTCCAGTTTGAAGAATTTAAGCTCTTATCAATTAGGTAATAATTAAGGCATCTTGGTTGTTATAGTTTCTGACCGATCTGGTACCACTATTGTACTGAGATCTTAGTCCGCGGTCATTACATGTTTCTACTGTTTAGTTAACATTATTATATTTTCCGCTAGCACTAGCAGAGTCTGACAGAGGACATAGTGGTCAGCCGTCAAGGCTGCAGCATGAGTTGAACTCCACTCAATCAGATCTGAGGCCTGAAATGGCTGGAAGCCAATTGCAAAATCAATCACTAATCGTATATGGCTATATGCAAGGGCGTGAATCTTTCCAGACAAGGCAGAATGAACCAAACTTATTGGGACTAGATACAGCACCCACGGGCTCATCAAGTCTTGATTCGCCAATGGGAAATGTCCCTGATTTTCATAAAAATAATTCATTGAGGTTGGGATCAGCTGAATCTCCCATAAATTATGATCTTATTGGGGGGCAACAACAATTTAGTGGAAAGCATCCTGGTATGATCCATCCTTTGCCAAGGCAGCAACCTGGGATGACTGACATGCAGTTCTTACAGCAAAGTGCTATAATGCAAGAATTACAGAGACACCAACTTCCAAAGTCACAGTTTTGGCTTCCAGAAGCAAGGCAGTCAAACTCTGCAAATCAGGTTTCCTCTGTTAGACAGATATCGGATAGCCTTTCTCCTTCTCCCATCGATGGTGTTCCTTTCCATGATGCTTAAAATGATTCTTGGAAGCCTGAGGACATGGCACCAAATTCAAATTGTCTGCAGTATGGTGCCTCTCCAGCCATGCAGGTATCCTCTGGTATGTTTTCCCCTGGGCAAGGTCAGATGTGTTTGATGGGTGTGGTTCCTCAGCAGGTTGATCAATCATTTTATGGGATTTCTGCAAGCAATGCAAGAGGAAATGCATATCAATATTCTTCTGTTCAAATGGATAAGCCTTTGATTCAGCAGGTGCCAGCCAGCAGTCATTCCTTTCTGGATAATCAGTATGATATGTTTTCAGATCAAGTTGGCTTGCAAGATGGAACTTCGGTTTCTGGACAGTGTGATCAGGATAATAATGTATTTGGAGCCATGGCTGATCAGGGTTTAAATAGCGGATTTCATTCAGAGAACTTCCAGCGAATGTTTATCCAGCCACAAACTGCAGTGATGCAGGAGTCTCCTTAGTGGCAAGAGCATTGCTGTCCTTCAGAAACATCCCTGGAGAACTCAACAATTCAGGTTTCCTCCTCCCACAATGCAGCTTCGCTGGATCCGGTTGAAGAAAAGATTTTGTTTGGTTCAGATGACAGTATGTGGGATATCTTGGGAAAGAGCTCCAAAGTGGGTTCAGCAATGGATGGTATGAAATCCTTAGGGGGATTTCCTTCTCAGCGAAGTAGGATTTGGAGTGCTCTTATGCTGTCTGCTGTAGCAGAAACATCCAGTAATGATATAGGGGTGCAGGAACAGGGGAGTGGTTTGGATTTGCAGAATTGTGAACCTCCAAGCTGGAACATGCCAGCATCAACTGTCAATGATGGCGGCAAACAACGATCAACTTGGGCTGATAATAACTTGCCCAATGCTTCGTTGCTGAACTTAAACCTTTAAGTATGTCCAATACTGATAAGTTGGTATTACCAGAAAATAATGCCAGCCAAGATTCTGCAAGCATGTAAAGAGATACCGAAGGTTTTGGCTGTTATTCAAGACCAAATAATGATGTGCATCTGGAGCAGGCAATGAACAATATAGAGATTGATCCAAGTAAAAGGAGTATTAAAAGATTTAAAGGTCCACCACCAGACTCTAGTTTGGAAGCTCAGCAGGTAAGTTCCCAAAGTGCAGAGAAACTATCTTATGGATCCAATGCTCTGATGAGAGATGCTCAAGTTAACCATCCTTTAGTTCCTTCTGGAGATTCTAAGGTGCTAAGCTCTTTATCAAACACCGGAGATAACCATGAGACACATTATCTGCTACTATGCTGGCATTTGTTCAGAATGATTCCCCACATTTCTCCAATTCTAATAATTTAGCTGCTAATATCAGGCGTGAACACTCTCAGATCAGCCCCCAGATGTCTACATCCTGGTTTGATCAGTATGGGGCAATTAAAAATGGGAAAATGTTGCCTGTATGTGATGCTCAAAAAATTGCCTTGATGAACGCTACAGAAAAAGCATTCATTGTTGGTCGGGCCTTTAACAGTATGCATGTTCATTCGAGTGAACATGACGCTGGTCCACTGGATAAAGTCCAGCAAAGCTCAAACTTTATGCCTATATCAACTGAATATACCTCCCCTCACTCACTGCCACCTGATATCACCAGTCAGAATTCGATGGTTGCGAGAGCAATGAAGCGCAAGAGTATGACATTTGAGTTTCTACCATGGCATAGAGAAGTGACACAGGGTTCTCAAAGGCCTCAGAACATCAGGTGAATTGAGTCATTATCACATTTGCTGCAATTCTTTTGAACACTATGTATCAATGATCCAAAGGGATAAAAGTAAAACCTTTCTCATCAGTAATTTACTAAAATGCTAAACTAATTTCCTTTTTCTATCATATCATCATGTTCTTCCTCTTTTGGAATTATTTGTTGTAGTGTGGCAGAAGTTGAATGGGCTCATGCAGCAAATCGATTGATTGAGAAGGTGTGTTCAGTATCAACTGTATTTGAACGTTTGTTATTCCTTACAATCTGATAGTTTGCAGCTTACAAACATTGATCTTAATTGCAGGTTGAGGATGAACCTCAAATCATTGAAGATTGGCCGCCAATGCTTAGGTCAAAAAGAAGGCTTGTTTTAACAACGCAGCTTTTGCAGCAACTACTTCGTTCTCCTCCAAGAGTAATTCTTTCTGCGGATGCCAGCAAAAACTGTGAGACTCTGGCATGTTTTGTTTCCAGATCAGTCTTAGGAGATGCATGTAGCATGGCATATATATACCTGAAAGTGACACAGCTGCCTCCCCTTGCAATGGAAGCATGTAAGTACATCACTTTGGGAATACTTGAGCCTCCTTTTACTGGAACTCATATGGGATCATTATTGTAAGTATACCATCTTACTAATGTTTTTTTCTTTCTCTCCTGTCTGTTTTAGTCTCTCTGAAAAGCAGAGGGAACAGAGAAATCAATCCCTTGTGAAGGCTGCGGAAGAGTTTATCAGCATAGCAAAGATGCTTGAAGACAGTTTACAGAGGTAACTTGTATTGTATCTAATTTTTCCAATACCTTCATGCATAATATCTCGTCATAGTACATATATGAGTCTTGAAGTTTAACATTTTGTGGCTAGAATTTCCCGTCACAAACGATTTATTCAATTTGATTATTTTGTTGTCTCGCCGGTGTGTCAAGCCATCATATATCATCAGTTAATTTATTGGCAACAACTAATCTAATTGGTTGGGCTTTTAACTAAACCGAGTCTCCACAGATTGTATTAATTTCCCTTCGGTTAATTGTTTACCTGCATAGGCTTAATAATCCTTTGGAGGATGTAAATGGGGTATTTTATGTGCACTTTGGGAAAAGTGTATTCCATAATATTACTTCAAAGGAGATTTTTTTTAATTGCTTTGTTCCTGATTTTTTTAACTAGTGAGGTTCTTTATCACTGTCATCCACTTTTTTTTATATAAGAATAGGAGGTCTCTTTCAAAACCCCTTCATACTTGGCCCACCGAAAGGTAGCCAATACGTATGGAAGGGGAAAAAGAGTACCTCGATAATCCAAAACCTTCATACAAAGTTCGATCAAAACAGGAGATTACAAGCCAGAATTAAACATATCGAAAAAACCAGCAAACAGTTCCTAAAAGCATCTCATGGACAATCGAAACAAAAAAGACTGGTAGAAATTACAATCCCTCTACCCAATTCCTTGCTTAGATAGCCCATCCACTTTGGAATTAGCACACCGACCGACATGACGAAGAATAACAACACGAGCCTTAACAACCAAATCTATTTCCCGAACAAGATGTATAAATGGGCCAGGGCACAGCGAAGTGTTAACAATCCAATCAACGACTGACTTGCAGTCGCATTCCAATATCAACCTAAACTTGAGTTTCTGTATATTCCCAGATTCGGCTATGACTGGTCTTTTATACCTATCCTTTCAGAATTGGGTATGGTTCTATGATTTGCTTTATGTTAGAAGTAAGATTTAACTAAGGGCTAGACTTTATACCTGGTAATTATTGCATTCTTGTTGTGTCTAATATTTACTTTATATAAGCAGTCTGGTCAAGAGAGCCTCGATCTTGGACTTAAGACTGGAATATCAGGATCAAGAGAAGGTGTCGGTCATCACTCGCTTTGCCAAGTTCCATGGCAGGGGGCAACCAGATGGACTCTCAAATTCTTTGGACAGAGATACGTTATCGCACTGCCGATGCCTAGGAATCTACCCGATAGGGTACAATGTCTCTCACTTTGATCATAAGCTGATTGATTTTTTCCCCTTACTGCCTTTCTTATCCAACCTCATGCTTTGTGCTCCAATTACTTTGAAGCACAGAAATGAAAAGGTAGGATAAGAGGCATTTAGATGTTAACAACACATTGATATTGGTCAATTCCTGAGAAAACTAGTCTTCTTACTGATCAGATTAAGCATTTTGATTCCTAATAGTTGTATGTATGCTTCACTTTGGTTTCCAAAATGACTGATTAGATCCATTTATCTGGCACATAATTACAGAAATTACACTCACCGCCTCCCCGAAAAAGTTACAAAATGGTCCCCTAAATATAGGATGTTGCTTTGTTGAGTCTTCGACTATTAAAAGTTACAAAATGATCACTTGATTATTCATTATGTTCCAAACTCGTCTTTTTTGTTAAAAAAATTGATTATAGTTTGAGCTGGATATTAATCTATTGTTTGAGATATGATAATCATTTGATATTCTAAGACCAGATTTCATCACATCTCAAACAATAATTTAATATTTAGCTCAGACTGTTATCAATATTTTAACATAAAATCATGAATTTGGAACATGATCAATAGTCGAATGTCTATTTTGTAATTTTTAATAGTCGGGTACAACAAAACAATATCTTATAATTAGATGATATTTTGTGACTTTTGATAGTCGGGATCTAGAAGAAGCAACATAATATAGTCGGGGAATTATTTGCATATTTTACCCTACTTTTAAAGATATTCAGGGTTTTAAAAATAAGATTAGCCTTGTCATATAGATTCAGTCAATTTTTTTAAGTTTTTAAAAAATATATACAAGAAAATATAAAACTAGTCCAATAATTTTTTAACTTCTTTTAAATTGGTCCAACTGATTTCCTAAAACTCACGTTCTATAGTATTTTTTTAGTTTTGGATTCATTTAATTTTATAATATATTTTTGAATCATCTTTCAATCAATTACGAATCTAATCCGCTGGCCAATTTAATCCTACCCAGAAAAATAATAGACCTAATAGAATTAATGGAAATATTTTCGTTAGCACTTTCCATGTATCATGAATAAGGACGGAATAAAGGTGACATTTTATGGGATAAATAAAAAAATGATAATTGCAGTCTAACTATCAAGTTTTAATTTAAAAATTTAGAATTGAAATGTTATAATCTAATTTGTTTAGTTTTAATTAAAAAAATCTAAAACAAGTTTAATTTACTTAATTTTAAAATTGAAAGGATCTAGACAGTAATTGTACCCATCATCAACCTCCTCTATTTATAGGAAGAGTTTAACTGTAACTTAATTTAACATTAAGGAACAACAAAGAATGGGATCTAGACATTTTCGGTTGGATGCAACTTAAGATGTTAATTTTATCGTAACATTTTCGGTTGGCAACCAGGAATGTTACATTTTCATAATATTTCTAGTTCAATCGAAAATATTAAAAAAAAGTTATTATTTTAGGCTATGTTCAACTAAAAATGTTATATTTTTAGGGTAACGCACACAAATGATCCTCGACTATAGAATATTATTCTTTTAAATCTCTCGACTATTAAAAGTTATAAAATAGTCATTCGACTATAGAGTGTTGCTTTATTGAGTCACTCGGCTATTAAAAGTTACAAAATTGTAACTCGACTATTCATTATGTTCCAAACTAGTCATTCTCTATTAAACAATTTAGTTTACGGTATTTTGAGCTAAACGTTAGCTTATTGCCTATGATATGATAAAATATGATCTCAGTATCTCAAATGACTATCATCTCAGCTATCATGTTGACATTTAGTTTAGACAACCGTCGATTTTTAATGAAAATTATGAGTTTGAAACATAATGAATAACTGAGTGACCGTTTTTGTAGCATTTAATAATCAATAGGCTCAACAAAACAACATTTTATAGTCGAATGACCATTTTATAACTTTTAATAATAAAAAGACTTAATAAAATAATATCATATAATTAAAAGATAATTTATTTATTTTATCTTATCAAACACCCATTCACTAAGACGCGTTTGATCTACCGCACTTTCACTTGCGTGGCAGCTAATCAGCACCCCCACAAAGGCGCGTCCGAGGTGGTGCACTTTACCCATTTCGAAGTGCCTTGTTTTTTGTTGTGAAATTAAATAACTTAATAAATAATTTAACTATTTAATGCATGCATATTAAATGTACGTAATAAAAAATATTGAAAAAATGAATATTATTTTATAGTAGTGAATGGTATTACTTAAATTTGACCTCGTTCTCTTTTGATAATTTTTAATTTTCTCTCATTCTGATTCCGACCAAATTTTTAGATTAAAAATCTGAATTAAATTTGATACAAGATTTTGCGTTCATAGATAATTTCTTACAAGATTTGCGATTCAAGGGATATTTCAATAGCTTAATCTCTTTTTGTTGTTCATTTGTCGATGCAGTCAAATTTATTTATATATCTATTTTTTGTTCGAATCTTTTGATTGAACTTTTAACATTTTTTCATATATGATCTATATATGATCTCAAAAGATTAACTTCAATGTTATAGAAAAATATTCATATTATGTATTTAATTTATGACATAATTTTAAATTCTTACTATAATATTGAGTACACTTACTTTTTAATAAGAGCAACATATTCTATTAAAAAAATTCAATTTTCAAGCAAAAAAATCCAATTATATTTGAATTAGTTTTAAAAATATTTTAAGAAGTATAGTATAGTATATTTTTGTAAATAATAAAATAATTCATTCGTATATTTGATTTTGGTTCGGACTTAGATAAAAGATAAGGATGACAATTTCACTCGCATCTCAAGGGTTTTAACCCAATATGATTTGATTGAGTTAGATTTTTTTAATTCGGTTTTGGGTAGGGTCGGGTTCGGGTGGCTGGTGAAAAACTTCGATTCGACCTGAGGATAATAATGTAATTTTCTTAAAAATATATTATTATTTTAATTAAATCCTTAATTTATACCGGATCGGGTCAGGTTGTGTCAAATTTATACTCTAAAAAATCAGGTCGGGTCGAAATCAAGTGAAAGATATATATTTTCAGGTTGAGTCGAATATAATGTAGGAAATAAAATTTTCGAATTAGATCAAGGTCAGGTGGAGGGCATATATCTTTATATCAGGTCGGGTTGACTAAAAATCCGACCTAACCCGAACAGTTGGGATCCCTAATAAAAGAGCAAAATTACGATTCGTCTCAAACCGGCCCTTGAAATGGAAAAATAATAGTAATAAACGGGCTTTCTTCTTTCATTATAAAAACCCTTTTCTTCTCGCTTCCCTCCTCTTTTGTTCCTCGGGAAACAATGAACAGAAAAACTTGAAAAAAATCCCCATCTCCTTAAAAAAATAATCCCAATATTTCCTTCAAAAATTACGAATCTTTTGTCGTAATTTACTCTTGGTTTCTTTCGATTCGCATTTTGGGTTTACTTTTTCCTCTGATCGGTTCTCTCACCCACTATTTTTGTAAAATCAGTAGTTTACCAAATTTTATTTGATCATGTCGATTGTGCTTGTTTAACGAAGGATGCAGTGGGGTTTTTTTATTGCCTGGAGATGATGGATAACAATGGAGAATCAGTGGATGATCAAGGCTCGGGATGGTTTGAAGTGAAAAAGGTGTTCTTTTTTCTCGAGCCGATGTTGTTAAAACCCCCTTTCACGTTGTCATAATTCGGTTATTTTTGTTGCCATTTTGAGCTTATTATTTGTTTGTTTACTAGGAAAACTGGGGGAATGGGATTATTTTCTCTCATCGTTTTATTAGCTGAATTTAGTTTGATTGCTGCTGCTTGTTTGAGCTATCCTATCTGATTTTGATTTTGGTATAGAAAGTATATCAGTTTTGAATTGCTGTACATTTTCTCAGCAGCCAAACAATATGCTAAGCAATTTATTTGTGGGTATTTATGCTGATTTCTGAGTTAAGATTGATCTTAAGCTTAGATTATGGAAAGTATATTGGTTTGGTATTTATGCTGTTGGACAATTACGAATTATTTGGGTCTATCAGATTGAGGGAAATATGTTTCATAAGTTTTCGTGTGATTCTAACGAAAAATAATTACAACAATTCAAAGGTGAATGTTTATGTTAAAAAATAGAGCGGGGAGTCTTGCACTTAAAATTTTCTTTTATTCACACAAAAAGTTTGGAAACATTGCTTGAACAAGGTATTCATCTTGCCTTGTCCATGTTGTTCCTTTCATTGCAACCCGGGCTTTGTTTGTCTTAACTTTGTTCTTGATGTCAAACTTTCAGTGTTGTTTTATTGGTATTTCTGGCATGAGATGATCCATCTTCCTTTTCTGACATCGTCAGATAGTCCTTCTAGATGTGCTTATAGGTCTGTTGAGTTAACTAAAATATTTTCAGAAAACTACCTTAATATTCTAAATGTGTCTCTTAAGAACCACATAATTATGTCGGTTTAAAGTGTTGTTATTTATTAGTGTCTGTTTTCCTTCATTCTCAGAAGAACAGAAGCAGTTCAAAGTTTTCCGTGCAAAGTTGGGGTGGGGGATTTTCAGCCAAAAATGGAAATAACTTGATGAGAGGTCAACAGTTGTTAAACAACAAGAAGGGTGGAGCTATGCAAGGAAAAGATAGATCTCTGCCTCAGTCATCTGCAGGGAATTCAGATGTAAATAGCCAGGGTGGTCTTGCAAAGTCAACTGCTGCGTCAAATGAAGATGAAAAGAATGCATGTTATCTTGATAAATGTGTTGTTAGGCAAGATTGTGAAGGCTTCCCTTCCCCCTCTTCTTTAGTCAAAAATACTAATGGCAGCTGCACAAATAACCCAAAAGTTCTATCAAAAGATAAACCCCATGCAGTTCACAAAATCAAGTGGGGAGATTTAGAAGACAATGTGCTGGTAGCACACCATGTAAACAATGTCAGAGCCGAAATCAAGTTTAGTGATTTAGGAGATGATAATGTGCCAGGTTGTTCGAAGAATGGGAACACTAGTAATTCAATTTCATGCATTAACCCCCAAGAAAACACAGTAGAAACATCCATGGATGAAGACGGTCATTCTTGTATGGTATCTCCATTGACTCCCAAGGGTGAAATAATGGAAGAAACATGTAAAGAGATAAATGAAATATCTTCAGAAGTTTTGGAACCGGAGATTGATAATGAAAAAATAATTTCTGCGGATGATGGGTTCGAGGAAATACATAGCAGACTCATCAAAACAATAGAGAATAATCAAGTAGATTGTAGCTTTCTATCTCCTCAAGCCTCTGGAACAGTGGTTACACCTGATGTGCCTGATGTCTCGTTGGATGTTGGGAAGCCAAAAACATCTGAAGAACCTATTTTAGACGGTGATTCTAGCATTGAGATGGTTTCACTAGATGCAGTTCCCCTTCCCCCTGAGAACAGTGGACCGGAAACTTTGAGAGTGTCAGTTACAGATTGTATAGAAGATGGTAGAAAACCTGATATGTCAAAAGCTCAACTTATAACTTCCCTCGGAGAACGTGATGCAGGAGAAAGCAAAGAAAGGTTTAGGGAAAGGCTTTGGTGTTTCCTTTTTGAGAATCTTAATAGGGCAGTGGATGAACTTTATCTTCTTTGTGAACTTGAATGTGATGTGGAGCAGATGAAAGAGGCCATCCTTGTTCTTGAAGAGGCTGCTTCTGACTTCAAAGAATTAAGTGCAAGAGTTCAAGAGTTTGAGGATGTGAAGAAGTCCTCTTTTCAACTGGTTGATGATTTACCAATTACTTTAAAAAGTGACCACAGAAGACCGCATGCGCTCTCCTGGGAGGTAAGGATGCTTAGCTCCTATTTTATTTCTTTCCCATTTTCTTGCTTGGAATTTTTAATCAGATTAATGTCATTTTATCTCATTCCATTGGAATAATCTTCGAGCCTGCATTTTACATCTGTTGGAACTTAAAGTTCATGGTGTGCACCTTTCTACATGACATGTACTTATTAGAGTTCGTTTTATCTCTTCTTACATGTGTCTATCTGAAATTTATTCATTGAAAAAAGATAAAAGGGATTTTGGAGTTGAGGAGCCTGGAATGGGTGTGTGTGTCGGGGGCTGAATCTGTCCCATGGTATTGGAAGATGGCCTGCTGTGGTTTAAGGAAGCTAGTAGACACAAATGTATATAAGTGTGTGCTAAATTTGATGGTTGCCTTGTGTCATTTTCATGCCATTTAGTCATCTCATATATATGGACCACTAGAGATACATCCTCTTGGATGCAGGTTCGTAGAATGACAACTTCACCTCACCGAGCGGAGATGCTGTCTTCATCCCTAGAGGCTTTTAAAAAAATTCAACAAGAGCGAGCTACCCATCTATCAAGTATCAGTATGAAATCCCTGGGCCAGAACAATTCCAATTTTGCTTCAACATCTGGTGATAATTTGAAGAAGTCAGGTACGCTGTCTGATGTAACATCCAGTAATAAAGAGCTGGGGATAAAGTCAAGAAAACTCCGTGGAGGTTCCGATTCTACTCAATGGAACCTATATGGAGAGAAACGAAGCATTGAATCAGGCAAGTATGGCAAATTAAACTCTGTTCAAAATGGTCGTGACCCGCCAAAGAACTATATCTCTTCTGATGTTGCTTCATCTAGGTTATTTCCTAAGGACAATCCTACTGCATCTGTTGCTGGAAAGAGTAGGAGAGAATATCTCGGGTCTGAAACTGATAAGCTCCTTTCCACGAAAGATAAAACATTAACAGAAAATATTGTTGAAAAAAAATCTAGAAGTTTGGATCAGATTAAGAGGCAAATTCCTCCTGAAAAAGACAAGGATAAGAGATATGCTACTTCATGGAAACCCATGGATGCATGGAAGGAGAAGAGGAACTGGGAAGACATACTTGCATCTCCTTTCCGTGTTTCTTCACGGGTATCATACTCACCTGGAATTGGCAAGAAAAGTGCTGAACGTTTGCGTACTTTGCATGACAAGCTAATGACCCCCGAGAAGAAGAAGAAAACTCCTGTGGATTTAAAGAAGGAAGCAGAGGAAAAACATGCACGGGCAATGAGGATCAGAAGTGAATTGGAGAATGAAAGAGTTCAAAAACTTCAGCGTACTTCAGAGAAACTCATTCGAGTCAATGAATGGCAGGCTGTTCGGACTATGAAGTTACGAGAGGGAATGTATTCCCGTCAGCAACGTAGTGAATCACGACATGAAGCTTTTCTTGCTGAAGTTGTGAGGAGAGCTGGTGATGAAAGCAGCAAAGTTAATGAGGTTCGTTTTATTACTTCATTAAATGAAGAAAATAAAAAGCTTATGTTACGCCAAAAACTGCAAGATTCAGAGTTGAGAAGAGCTGAAAAACTTCAAGTGATGAAAAGTAAGCAGAAAGAAGATATGGCTAGAGAGGAAGCTGTTTTAGAACGCAGAAAGCTCATTGAAGCTGAAAAGTTACAACGTCTTGCTGAGATACAGAAGAAAAAGGAGGAGGCTCAACTGAGAAGGGAAGAAGAACGGAAAGCATCAAGTGCAGCCAGAGAGGCTAGAGCCGTAGAGCAGCTTCGCAGGAGAGAGGAAAGAGCTAAAGCTCAGCAAGAGGAAGCTGAACTTCTAGCACAGAAATTAGCTGAAAAACTAAGTGAGAGTGAGCAACGTCGTAAATATTACCTTGAACAAATACGGGAGAGAGCTTCAATGGATTTTAGGGATCAGTCTTCACCCTTAATGCGTCGATCCATTAATAAGGAAAGCCAGGGCAGATATACACCAACAAATGGTGTTGAGGATTGTCAAGCAAATGACAGTGCTATTTTAGGAAACTCTGCACTTGCAACAGGCAATAGTGCTTTGCAACACTCATTGAAGCGAAGGATTAAAAGAATTCGGCAAAGAATTATGGCTCTGAAGTTTGAAATTTCTGAACCTCCTGCTCCTGAAAATACTGGTATTGGATATAGAACAGCAGTGGGAACTGCAAGAGCGAAAATTGGGAGGTGGCTTCAGGAACTTCAGAAACTTCGTCAAGCAAGAAAAGAAGGAGCCTCAAGTATAGGATTAATTACTGCAGAAATGATCAAGGTATGCCATTTTTTAGGCCACTATTAAAAATATTAATGATCATAACCTGTACTATGATTATAATATACCAAACTTGGGATGTTTTCTTTATGGATATTAAGAATCTTAATGGAACTTCTAGGACAAAGAATATTTTCTGTCAATCATTCTAAGGACTATTTCATGCAGTCTTTTGATGGTTGAGAGGATTAAAATTATACGAATTTACTTTTAGCTTATTCATGTCCTTTTCAACTATATCTTGTTATGATCAACCATATTCTTTAATAAAATATGGTAGCTATACATAAGTTCTTGTTTTACTCGAGCTGCAACTCGCATTGAAATGGTGGGTGGGGATTGATGCTCTCTTTCTAACTTATTTCTTGTGAAAATTTCATTGTGAATTAGTTTCTGGAGGGAAAGGAACCTGAGCTACATGCTTCTCGCCAAGCTGGTCTGCTTGATTTTATTGCTTCGGCCCTGCCGGCTTCACATACATCAAAACCTGAAGCTTGTCAGGTGACAATACATCTTTTAAAACTTCTGAGGGTGGTGTTATCGACTCCTGTGAACCAGAGTTATTTTCTTGCTCAGAATCTTTTACCTCCTATGATTCCCATGCTGGCAGCGGCACTTGAGAACTATATAAAGATTGCTGCGTCCTTAAATCTCCCTGGAAACAGCAACTCGCTCTCATGCAAAACTTCTCTTGAAAATTTTGAATCGGTGTCCGAAGTACTGGATGGTTTTTTATGGACTGTCTCCTCAATTATTGGTCATATAAGATCTGATAAATGCCAACTCCAAATGCGGGATGGCTTGCTTGAGTTATTAGTTGCCTATCAAGTTATTCACCGGTTCCGGGATCTTTTTGCTCTGTATGATAGGCCTCAGGTTGAAGGGTCCCCATTCCCTTCATCTATTCTATTGAGTATCCATCTACTCGTGGTTTTGACATCCTTTCCTGGAAAGAGTTGCATCAATTGGGAATCTTTACCTATTGAAATGGAAATGGGTAGCGAAAGTCAAGATACTAAGATTGCAGCATCAGTGGATTCTAAATGTTCCTTTGGAAATAGAAACCCTGGAGACAATACTCCTCAATTATGTGCGCCAAGTGGTAGCATAATGGCACTACTATCTGATGTACCAGAGGATAGACCATTAGATGAACCGTGCAGAATAAATAAGAATGATAGTTCAGTCGAGTTGAACAATCTCAGCATTTCCAAGGTAGATGTTACAGATGCATCACAGAAAACACCAGTTGAGCAAAAGGAAGAGAAAGCCATCATAATTGCCAGGGAGGAGAAATTGAATGAAAAGATATCAAGCGTGAAACAGCCAGTGGCATTCCTTCTTTCCGCTATATCCGAAACTGGATTAGTCAGTCTTCCTTCCCTGTTGACAAGTGTGCTACTTCAAGCAAACAATAAGATACCTGCTGAGCAGGTAACTTCACCACCTTTTGAAAAGTTCCTTTTCCTTCTTTTCTTCTTTATGTCATGGAATCAAATAAGATTGTTTTATGGAAACTTTTAAACTTCCACCACTTTGGCTTAGGTTGTATTCAGTATTGTCTTTGCTCTATACTTTTCGAGCTAGAAAAAGGAAATCGTGCTAGGACATGACCAATACAAATCCAAGCTGCCTTTTTTTCTGAAGATTAATTTTGGTTTGAGCAGTTATTATTGTTTTTTCATGGTTGGATGAGACCTCATTTTATTAATTCTAACTTGTTATACTATGAAATATTTGGAATCAGGATCTTACTAAGGGTATCGTTTTGGATAGATAATTTATTTGTAGAACCTAGCCACTTGTCGGGAAAAGGGCTAGTTTGTGGTTGTTCAGGAAAAGAATCTTCTACTAGAATACTGAAGATACTGTTTTTATAATTAATTGTCGGTTCTGTTTCAGGCATCAAATGCCCTTCCATCTAATTTTGAAGAGGTGGCAACCGGAGTACTGAAGGTTATGAATAATTTGGCACTATTGGATATTACATTTATACAAAGAATGCTGGTGAGTAAATTTCATGTATTGGATATTAGTTGCATGATACTTACGATAGTGGCTTTAGCTAAACTCTGATTTTCCTCAAGTTTATGCTGATTTTGATACATGTCAGAAAAACAAAAAACTGATTTGGTCTCGTTTTATCCTCAGGCAAGGCCGGACCTGAAAATGGAGTTCTTCCACCTGATGAGTTTCCTTCTTTCTTATTGCACGAGCAAATGGAAAGCAGCTAATGATCAGGTGATCGATTATGTGCATGTTATGGTTTCGTAATGCATGCCAAACCGACAAGATTCATACACAGAGACGGGTATCAGTTCCAAAATTGTAGACAATATCCCCATCCTGTACTATTTCTATAGTGGTTATCTTTCTATAAATTCCTGCATGGGTTAAAACTTATACAAGGAATCATACTATTCCAAATAAGTCAACTTTGGGAGATTGAGTCTCAAATATCATATTCTTAACATATGCTATCAATTTTTCTCAGATTGGTTTACTTCTACTTGAATCTCTGCTGCTTCTTGGTTATTTTGCCTTGTTCCACGCCGGGAATCAAGCTGTTCTTCGATGGGGTAAAAGTCCCACAATCCTTCACAAGGTCAGTGATCTCTTCACAGTTTTCTCTCTCTTATCTTTATATGTTATTCGAGAAGCTAACAGTTGAGCTCTAAGGGCACAGGTGTGTGATCTGCCTTTCGTGTTCTTCAGTGACCCGGAATTGATGCCGGTCTTGGCAGGGACGCTTCTTGCGGCCTGTTATGGCTGTGAACAGAACAAGGATGTAGTTCAGCAGGAACTAAGTATGGATATGCTACTGTCCTTGCTAAGTTCTTGCAGAAATATCTTGCCAGCCGTCAGATCATTCAATTCAAACCCGGAAGTTCTATTAGCAGACGATTCAAATGAGTGTAACCACCAGGGTTCTGATTTGAGAAGATCTCAGGGAGATATTCCCCTAAAATCCGGCCGATACAACAGCAAAAACACAAGGATCTCCGGTGGAAAGGGCAGCAGTGTCGGAAATGGCACGAAATTCGGCAAGATGAGAAACCAAAGAGAGAGCAGATCAACAAAAACTTGTGAAGAAACAACTATTAGACATAACAGTAACCTTCCAGTTTTGGGGAGTTCACTTATGTTATACTCTAGATTCTCGAGCAGCTTCATCAACAGAGCTGAGCAGTTCTTTTCGGCTGGGATCGCCGATGACAGAACTCTGAGTTAACTAACACGAAACCGAACTCATCATATTTGACATTTACAGGCATTTGCCATCTTAAATTCAGTGGTCAGTCATAAACCCTAAATAACTGCTACATTTTATGGAGATTTTATTCATGATTACTGATTCACTAGGCTTTTCTCCAAGCTAATTGTTGTGAACTACCTTCTTTTTGGGGGAAATGTTTGGATTAAAATTATACAAATTATGCTCAAACAATCATTTTTTAACTTTTAAAATTTATAAAATAATCATTAAATTTATTGAATCTTCATTATATAATAATCATTATAATATTATCATTAGTTTAAAGGTTTAAAATTTTAATTATTATTTATAAAATTAATACTTAATTTATAATTTTAAAATTGTAATGATTAAAATAAATATTTAAGCATAATTTAATAACTTGACCTGTTTACTCTTTCACACCGAGCTTCTGTACATGTTTTTTATGCTTTTGTATTGTACAGCCCGAGTTCGAAATTTGTCTGTCAAATACAATTTTATCAAATGTTAGGGATAGAAATAAAGACGTTCAGATGAATTATCTGTGAATCGTTTATATAACATCCGTTTATGTTATTTTTTAAAATAAATAAATGAATATAAATAAAATTTTTATGTTTATTTAATAAATGAATAAAGCACACACAAAAGTATATTCGGTTTGTTTATGCTCAATAATAAGCTTGTTTATTGGCTCATTTATTAACTCAATTATAACCTTGCTTATTGACTCATATACTCAATTCCTTTTCTTTTTTGACATTTTTAATATTAGTAAAGATAGGGATTAAATTGAAATAAGACGAACTTTGGAGTTTAGGCTATAAAACCTGTGAAAATTATCTATGAAATTAAATGAATATGTTCGTGATTATTAAATGAATGAATACAAATGCGACACTAAAAATTTAAATAAATATTAACCGAACATAAATATAACTTTAATCCTTCAATTAATTTTTAAATTCGACCGAAGTCACTTATTGTTACACCATAAATCAAAGAGTTAATTGCATTATATATCTTCAAATTACAACTCTCATTTCAAATTGGTCATTAAACTTTTAAATATTATAATTTCATCCTCTAACCATGACTCTCATTCTAAAATTTTCCTTAAACTTTGAAACATTCCAATTTATCCCCAAACTATGATCTTCATTTTAAATTAGTCCCTAAACTTTTGAATCTTTCAATTTCATCCCTAAATTTATTCAAATATGTAATTCATTTCAACAATAGTTCAATCTATTTTTTTAAATATATAATAATATAACTTGACCTAACAATTTTATTAACAAGGGATGTGACTAATATATACATATAATTTGGGATGAAATTGAAATATTCAAAAAGTTTGGGGACCAATGTAGAATGAAGATCATAGTTTGGGGATGAAAATAAAAATTTTGAAGGTTTGAGGATTAATTTAGAATGATAGTCATAGTTTAGGGATGAAATTAAAATGTTTAAAAGTTTAAGAACCAATTTAAAATGAGGGTTATAATTGAAGGATGTATGACATAATTAACTCTAAATCAAATTAACATATTTTATTTTACTTTGTTTGATTTGATCTGGATTTGAAAAGAATTAATTTGATGTGAAAATTAATTTAAGTTTTGAAACTAAAATCCACATGTATATTCGATTTGAGATATATATATATATATATATATATATATATATATATTATTTTATAATAAAATAAAATTTTAATTGAAAAAATAAAAAAAAACCTATATAAAGGAAGTGATATTATATCAATTATTCTTAAAAATTTACAGAATAATTATATTATTATCTTAAATCATGTTAATTTTTTTAAAAATAGAATCGAATCTAATTTCAATTTAAAATAAAAAGTTTATATTTATAAAATAGGATTAGATCAAAACTCATCGTATAATAAAATTATTATCAGTAAATAGTTGATATTTAAAATTATTTTTAAATATTAATTTCCCCTATAATGTTTAAGGTCAGAGCTCGTTCTTCAATTATTTTTTAGTTTGAATTATAAGTTTAATATTGTATTCGAGGCATTTTGTCAAGTGGTTAAAGTAATTATTATTCTTTACAAAGATTAAGGGTTTATTTTAGTTTAAATTAATTCAATACTATTAAATTTTATTTAAATAATAAATAAAAATAAAATATTCAATTTCTAAAAAATCGGAAACCCTAGTTTCACAGTATTTAACAATTTATTAACTTTATAAAATCCCGCACATCTGCTCCTCCCCCGTTTTGCTACACAATCGAACAAGGGGAAAAGAAGAGAGTATTTTGAAACACGAAAATGTCCGACGAAGAGCATCATTTTGAGTCCAAAGCCGACGCCGGTGCCTCCAAAACGTACCCTCAGCAGGCCGGAACTATTCGCAAGAACGGCTATATCGTCATCAAAGGCCGCCCCTGCAAGGTTCTCGCTTTTTAAAGGATCTCTTTGATTTTATCCTCTGAATTTCCTTTTTGGTTTATTATTTTTGAGATTTGTTTATAATTTCTAATTTAGATTTTGGTGATTCAGATCTATTTGTTTTTTTGGATAATCGGTGTATTTGTATTTTGTTTGGTTGTTCATTTTGGCTTGAAAAAATTTTAAGAATCGAATATGATTATATATTTTAGTATTTTCTTTGAATTTATAATAACTTGTTTTAAAACAAAAGCAAATTAGAAAAACATAAATACAAACAAACTAATACAGGACTTTAGTATTAAGAAATTAGGATTTTTTTTATGAATCTTCTTATTACCAGCAATCTGATGGCCTTTTTTTGGAATGTGATAAAAATTGGTTGATGGGTTGATTGTTGATTTGCGCCTTATATGGTTATTTAGAATTATTTGCATTTTTAGCTGAACTCGATTGTTGTTGACTTGTATGGGGTTGGACAGGTTGTCGAAGTTTCGACCTCCAAGACTGGGAAGCACGGTCATGCGAAGTGTCACTTTATCGCGATCGACATCTTCACTTCCAAGAAGCTGGAAGATATTGTTCCATCTTCCCATAACTGCGATGTATGAAATTATAAATCTACTTCACTGATTGTTATTGTTTTTGTCATTCTTAGTTTAAATTTCTGATCTGTTATGTAATTGCATTGGTGAATTGATTCTTTTGTCCTTTTGTTGTAATAGGTTCCTCATGTCAATCGTAGTGACTACCAGCTGATTGACATTTCTGAGGATGGATTTGTAAGTTTGGTTCGGGTTTTGCTTTCATTTCTCTGTGTAGTCATCCGTGTTTTTCTTCTTAACTTGTTAAATATTTCAGGTGAGTTTGCTGACTGACAGTGGAGACACTAAGGATGACCTGAGGCTCCCAACAGACGATAACTTGTTGAAACAGGTAAATTAACTATTTTTCAAGTTTATTGACAAATCGGTCTTTTGATATCGAGTATAAGTTGTTATTAATTGACTGATTTGAATTCTGAAAAAAAATCAAAGCCTTTTGCCTGTATCTAAGGTTGGCTACTTGTATTCTATTCATGCCTGTTGTCATTACATATCAGCTGAGTGCTAGAGTTCAAGATTGGATATAAAGTATTCACAGAACCTTTAAGCATCTTTCGTTTACAAATTTGTGAGGCCACACGGGGCTACATTGGAAGCACTGTTTGCAGTCAGCAGTCTCCTACACTAAAAAGAGTGAGCTTAAACTCGTGCACGAGAGGGGTTTATATTTTATTGATTGCAGTCTTTCTTTTTTCCCTTCTATAATTTCCTGGCCTCTTGATGTTAGGAACCTGATTGAACAATATTCTGATTGGGGGATATAACCCTTTTTTCCACATGTTTTAACTAGCCGAAACTGTTTATGCTTCCGTCTTTGTTCTGATGCTACTCAACTTTTGCATTTCTCATTTTACCCACTGCTTATATGTTTGTATATCTCCATGACTAGTAGCTGATCTGATGTTTGTATATACTATACTACTTATACCCTTTCCAAACATGAAAATTTCGGTTGCTTTTTCGTAGTTTAATAATTTACATTTATGGCTGTTTTTTGTTGAGTGCAGATCAAGGATGGTTTTGCTGAAGGGAAAGACCTGGTTGTGTCTGTTATGTCTGCAATGGGGGAAGAGCAGATCTGTGCTCTCAAGGACATTGGTCCTAAGTAAGTTTCAGGTTCATTTATTGCAAAACCTTAAATGGAGCCAAAACTTAAGACTTTGGTAGTACTAAATGCTGTTTTGATGTTTTTATTTTGGGTCTTGGTAGGAAAAAAAAGGAAAAACAATATTACTAGTTCCTTGTGTTATGGATATTATTTTATTTCAAGATTTTATTCTTACCACGTTTTGTTTTGTGTGTGTGTGTGTGTTTTTTTTTAAAGTTATAAGCTATAATTATGATTCTAAGTTATTCATATTTGAATAGATTATAGTGTAAATTACGTGTTTAATACCTAAATTATTAGTTTTGGTTTATTTTAATACTTAAACTTTCAATTTTTTAAATCATACCTAACGATTAGTATTTTGTTTCATTTTAGTATCCCTATTCAAAATTTAATGTTATGTTTTGAAAAAAAATAAAGTTTAGGTACTAAAACGGATCAAAATTGAAAGTTCAGTTACTAAATATGCTGACTTTTCAACGGTGGGTATTAAAATGAAATAAAAATTAAATGTTAAGTATGATTTTGAAAATATTAAAAGTTTAGGTATTAAAATATATTAAAATTGATAGTTTATGCATTAAGTACTTAGTTTACCCCAATTTATAATCAGAATTAATCATTATGAATATCAATTGGACTAATATCTGGATTATATTCGGAAATAGATCACAATGTGATGCTTGTCAAAAGGGTTAAAATAAAAAAAGTTGTAAGATATATGTATCAAAATAAAGTGGATGTCTCTTGTTTCCATATGTAATGGGGTAAGGAGGAGGTAAGATAGTAGGTTGTCCCCAACACTAGGTTGAGAGCAGCTTCGAGACTTCTAAATTATGAAATGCCCTCCATGGGACTCGATCTCACGACCTCAAGGTTAAGAACCTTGTGCTCTACCAACTGAGCTGGATGGTCATTTACTATCGAAATAAAGTATAGGGATTAATTGAAAAAATTATCAAATTATTTCAAGGTTTGAATTTTATCTCAAACGATTTCTTTTTTTTCCCTCTTAAAAAAGTTTTTTTTTTCTTTTTACTTTAATAAAAGGAAGTAACGATAAAAAAATATTTTGAAGGTAATGATAATATATAAAGAAATGAACATATTTAAATTATATTGCATTTTTTTTTCAAATTATTATTTAAATATTAGAAATAATATTTTCATCTAGATTTTATTAATGAAAGTCATAATTATAATTTAGCCTTCGATGTTTATTTTTTTTTGTTAATTTTAATTTAATTTAAAAGATAATTAAATTTATATTTTAGCTAAAATGATGACAAAAAATTAACTTTTTTAATGACAATGTTATGGTCTTTGTATAGTGTATCTATCGATGATTAAGAAAGATTGTGAATAAGTATTATTTTATTATCACTGATAAATTTTTAAAATATATTGTTTATTAAAAAATAATTTAATCTTTAAACTCTAAAATATTTTATATCGCTGCTCAAATTATTTGTACCATTTTAATTTGAACTTCTACTAATGTACCATTAATTTTACTGATTTTTAAGGTCATGAGAATTAAATCCCGATCTTCTAAAAAATTAATTCAGTTTTAAATTTTTTTAAAATTGAACTCGCAATCTTTTAAAAAAAAACTCTAAATTTTTTAAAGTCACATGTTCAATTCATAGGGTTTTCAATAAAAATAAAAAGAAATTATCCAGTAGAGTTAATGATACATCAATAAAAGGATCAAAACAGATTGATAATGATAGTTTAAGGACTGATATATAGTATTTTAAAATTTAAGGATCAATTTAGAATATAGATCATAATATGAGGACTGATTTATAATATCTTAAAGTCTAAGAATCAATTTAAAATAGAGGTCATAGTTTAAGTATATCTTGTGTGATTATTTATTTATATTTGTAAAAAAAAAATATCACAACTACATTAATAAGGATGAAAATTTAAGAATATTATTCCAGAAAGTCCTAAAATTTTAATAATAGAAATATAGCATTCAAAAAACCCGGTTCAACTTTCCAAGTATTTTCTCTCTCATTTTCCGTAGTTTTCTTTTTCCTTTCAATTTTTTTCTCTTAGCACAAACAAAACTCAAATAACATATCACCAGAAATTGTTTACAACTCCAAATTGTTTAATCTTTTTATTTTTTTATATTTTTTTCTTCATTATAATCCTGATTTTCATTACATACTGTCACTTCTTTCTTACTTTTTTTAATTAATTTTTCAAAAAATTGTTTATGAATTTTCTATGCGCCAAACTTTCCCTCCGCATTTCATTTTCCTTGTCTTTCTATGCCTCTCTATCTCTTTCTGATTTGCTGTTCCATTTATGTGTTGGAAAAGGAGTTGAAATTGTTAATAATTCCACGGCTTCATTTATTTTAATATTTTGGTCTGTTCTGGTGAGGGCATAGACGGGAAAATTGTGTTGGTTTTTGATTCGGTGGTGAGAAATCTTCATGCATTTGGACAATTTGGCGTGTTTTGAAGAAAGGCATTGACGGTGAGAAAATTCGTGTTGAATTTACGTCGGAATTCGGTCACTTATAATTGAATTTGAGAACCTGAATCCGTGGCTGGTTTGTTTAAAAAGAAATGTGATAGTATTCGAGGTGATAGGAAGAAAGGGTTTTGGATCCTATAACGGTAATAACAGCGCCATTGGATGGCGCTGTTCAGACGATTGTTTTACCGGAAGCCACCTGATCGGCTTCTCGAGATATCCGAACGTGTATACGGTAACTTTTTCTATTATTTATTTATTGTTCATTTAAGCTTTAAAATGTGGAAAACGTATTCATTCTATCACAGAAAGAGGTATGCCAATGGACACAGTTTTTGAATTCTCTGGGAATCAAAATTCTCTTCCATATTTTCTTATATATATTCATTTATTTGGACAATGCACTGCTTATTTTCATGTTTTTTGGGCTCGGTTGATTAACTTTGGGGTATTTATTACAATAAGAAGCTCTTTGAGGGGGGTTTTAGCTTGTTTCTTTTCGTGGTTGATGGGGAGAATTGGGGACATTATCACCTTAAAGCAGAACTATTGAATTGATTTGCTATTGAACTTTGTAACAAATCCCTTGGAGCTTAGAAGCGGATTTGCTATCTCTGTTTTATTGATAAATACAAGTTTCGGATACCATTTTTGATGTAAATGTTTCTGTTTGGAACTGTTGTTTGCTTTTCTCCATGTTAGGAAAGTTATTGAACTCCCTTTGGCGAGCATTTGTAATGAACCTTACAGTTAAAACTTACAAGTTACAATATTATACTTACACTGTTACACACACAGAGACATATATATATATATATATATGGAGGCATATGGTTAAAAAGTATTGCTGATTTGATTCAATTCTTGTGCTGGTTGTTTTGCAGTGTTTGACTGTTGCTTCACTGCGAATGTTATGGAAAAAGACAACTTCAAAGTGTATATGGATAGCATTGTGGCACAGCTACAGGACTACTTTTCAGAAGCTTCGTTCGTGGTGTTTAATTTCAGAGAAGGGGATGGGCGGAGCCGAATTTCAGACATTCTAAGCGAGTACAACATGACTATTATGGACTATCCTCGGCAATATGAGGGGTGCCCGCTGCTGCCACTTGAAATGATCCATAACTTCCTTCGATCATGTGAAAGCTGGTTATCATCGGAAGGGCAGCAGAATGTGCTTTTGATGCACTGTGAAAGAGGAGGATGGCCGGTACTTGCTTTCATGCTTGCCGGTCTTCTGTTGTATCGAAAACAATATAGTGGTGAGCAGAAGACTCTTGAAATGGTCTACAAGCAAGCTTCTAGGAACCTTCTCAAGCTTCTGTGCCCTTTGAACCCCCAGTCTTCTCATTTGAGATATCTGCATTATATTTCTAGAAGAAATTCGAGAATTGATTGGCCTCCCGCAGATTCACCTCTATTTTTGAATTGCATAATTCTTAGAGTTCTTCCCCTTTTTGAAGGGGGAGATGGGTGCAGGCCGGTTATACACGTCTATGGTAAGAACCCCAAAACACCAGCCAGTAGAAGTTCTAAGCTTCTATTTTCAACTTCCAAGTCAAAAAAACAAGTTCGTTACTTCCAAAAGGTGATGCGCAAGTTACACAATTGAAACTGAAAAGATAAATAGACCAAAATTTGGGATGTTCTAATAAGGTTTATCTGCAGGAAGAGTGTGCATTGGTGAAAATCGATGCTCATTGTCATATTCAAGGGGATGTTGTGCTTGAGTGCGTCCATTTAAATGAAGATTTGGTACATGAAGAGATAATATTCAGAATTATGTTTCACACAGTGTTTGTTCGAGGAAATATTTTGAAATTCAACCACGATGAAGTTGATGTGTTGTGGGATGCCAGGGATCAATTTCCAGAGGAATTTTCAGCAGAGGTAGATTAAGTTAATATTCTGTGACGACTTTTTTTAAAAATAATTTTTAAGGCTGTAGGAGTTGAATGAATACTCATCTCTGTATCAGGTAAATTTTATGGACCCTGATGCAGTTGTCCCTCGTCTCACCAGAGTCACAACAAGTGAAAATGGGAATGAGATTGAAAGTGGCTCGCCAGAGGAATTTTTTGAGGTGGAAGAGATCTTCAGCAATGCAGTTGATATGCTGGACGGAAAGGTGGATGATGACAGTTTGAAAGTTCATTACAACAAGTTAGAGCAGAAAGATGTCCGGAGGGAGGGTGTAGATCCTCATAGATTTCAAGAGTGTGCCTTAAATGATGGGAACAAAAAACAGGATGTCAAGGTTGATTCTAGTATAGATGCAGTGAAGGACATAGCTGTGGATGATGTGAATTACAAATTAAATAAGATGGATTCTGACACTAATGCTGTGAAGGACATAGCAGTTGATGAAGGAGACATTAAGGTTGGTTCAGTGGGGTTTAGTATTGGCCTGTGGTGGGATATAGAAACCAAGAAGGTGACAGAAGATGTTCTTGGCAAGTTGGAATACGTGGAAGATATAGTCAATAGAGACACTGTTCCACTGAAGAAGCAAAGGTTGGAAACTGATATTTCCAGACCTAAACCTGAGAAATTTTTGCCTCCTTCAAAGAAATGGGGTGGGCTGTTCCCAAAACCAGCTTCAGATTCTGTTCTGGTGAAACCAAAGAGCAAACAACTAGAACCTCAGGGCCATCCTGCAAGACAAGCAAAGCCAAATGCCATATCTCGATGGATCCCTCCTAACAAAGGCTCTTATGCAAATTCGATGCATGTATTATATCCACCATCAAGACATAGTAGTGCACCACCTACACTTTCCAGTACTACAGCTTTTTTGAGGAAATCGAAGTCTGGTTCCAATCTAAAGGTTTCTACCGGAGCTATGATTTCAAACGATGTTTTATTCAGGCACAAAAGTCAGAAGGTTGACCATGTAAAGGCTTCAGACTCTTCAAAAGAAATATCTACCTCTCCCATAGTTCCAACATCGCTGCATGGTCTACCACAATCGGTGTATATTCCACATAGCAATCCACAACCATCACCACCACCTGCTCCTCCTCTTCCTCCTCCTTCCCCATCTCCACCAAGACCTCTCTTGGTTCCACAATCTATGCAGGAAAATACATCTATACTACCTTCCCTACCTTCCGGAGATGTTTCTAGATTGCCTTTCGCAGCATCACGGTCTTCCCTTCCACCTTGCACTACAACAAATGTACATACTATTGGGATGGTTGCACAATCTCCGGTGGCAGGTCCTCTGCTGCTTCCCTCTCCTCCATTATCTATTTCTCAGACTACCACACTGGTTTTGCTTCCTCCACAACATTCATCATCCCGGAAGTCTAGGTATTCTTTAGCCTCTACTGTACTACATTCTCCACCTCAAACCCCTCCTCATCCATCTTCTGTCAGATCATTGTGTACAACACAGCCTAGTAATGAACCTTCTTTTCATCTACAACCCCCTCCCACTACACCAATTAAATGTGCTATATCTCCACCTATCATGCATGAAGTGCTATCATCACCTTCTCTACCCCTAGCCACTCCATTGTGTGATTCTCCATCTCCACTTCCACCTTCCCTCCCACCACCAGTGCCCACTGGACATGGACCTTTGCCACCCCCATCCCTACCCCCATTGCCACCTTTTCAATATCAAGCTTTGGCACCTCTACCTCTACCATCACCAATGCCTCTTCTTCAAGTAGCTTCTTCACCACCACCATTGCCACCACCTTTTTTGCAGGGATTTGCGTATGGACATTCTCGACCACCCTTCCCAATGCCTAGTTGTCTTTCCCCTCTACTTGCACCACTCCCATCGATGTTTAGTTCCTTGATTCCTCCACTTGTACCACCCCTATTGATGTCTAGTGCCCTCCCTTCTTCACCTCTATCACCCTTATTAGTGTCTAGCACTCCATTTCATCCTCCTCCTCCATCATCCCTATCAATTTGTACTTGCCCACTTTCTTCTGCATCTCCATCACCCCCATCGATTTCTAGCACCTATTCTCCAACGCTCCCCTCGATGTCTAGTGCTTCATCTCTTCCTCCCCTAACACCCACATCAACGTCTAGCGCCCCATTTCCTCCTTCACCTCCACCATCCCTATCAATGTCTAGTGCCCCACCTCATCCACAACCCTCATCAATGTCTAGCACCCTATTTCCTCCATCTTCACCACCCTTTTCGACGATTAGTGTTCCGCCTCCATCTCAACCACCCCCATCGATGTGTAGTGCCCCACTTCCTCCCCTACCTTTATCACTCTCTTCGACAACTAGTGCCACACCTTCACCTTCATCTCCACCCCCATTAATGTCTAGTACTACACCGATGTCTAGTGCTTCCCTTCCAACACATACATCTCCACTGCCCCATTCGGTGTCTAGTGCCCCCCTTCCTCCTTCACCTTCACCACCCTCTTTGACGACTACTGCCCCACCTCCACCTCTATCCGCACCACCCGCATTAGTGTCTAGCGTCCCATCCCCATCACCCCTGTTGGTTTCTAATGCTATACCTCTTCCCCCGTTGATGTCTAGTGCCCCACCTCCTCCTCCTTCACCACCACCGCCCCACTTGATGTCTAATACCCGACCTTCTCCACCCCCATCGGTGTCTAGTGTCACACCCCAACATTTGAAGCCCCTCCACCCCCTCACCAATTGCCTGGAGTGCCACCTTTGCCTGCTCATGAAATTGCAGCAACAACCTCGTCTCCTATGCATGGAGCTCCTCGTCCACCACCTCCATTGCCATCTCCTGGGGGTGGAGCGCCTCCTCCACCTCCACCTCCACTGCCACCTCTCGGAAGCGGAGTGCCACCTCCACCTCCACCTCCACCTTCACCGTCACCTCTCGGGGGCGGAGCGCCACCTCCACCTCTCGAGGGTGGAGCTCCTGGCCCTCCAGCACCACCTGGAGCTCCTGGCGGCGGAGTGCCTCCTCCACCGCCACCTCCCGGGGGTGGAGCGCCTGGCCCTCCAGCACCACCTGGAGTTCCTGGCGGTGGACCGCCACCTCCTCCTCCTGGCGCTAGAGGAAGAGGGCGTGGGCTATCTCGTTCAGGAGCTATTACAACTAGGAAATCTTCCTTAAAGCCTTTACACTGGAGCAAAGTCTCAAGGGCAATAAAAGGAAGCTTATGGGAGGAATTGCAAAGACATGGAGAGCCTCAAATGTAATATATCTTCTGATATTGATGCAGCTTTTCTGTAGTATACTTCTATAGAGAAATCCATGACCCAATATTTATCCTAGTGCTCCATGATTTTATGTTTGCATTAGGCTTTTACATTTATTAATTTCCCTTTTGTATTCACTTACCTTGTCCTTATTTCTCCTAGTGCTCCAGAATTTGATGTATCAGAACTTGAGAAACTTTTCACTGCTGTTGTTCCTAAACGTGCTCGTGGGGGTAAAGGGAAAGGCAAGTCAGGTGGATCAAAAACTGACAAAGTCCACTTGGTAATTTTTAATTTCATTTTTCTGAATAAACTATACATCTAAGTTTCTTTGTAAGTGGTTATGGTACTATTACTTGAATCACCTCATAACTTGAGTGGCTACAAGGTCTGCAGTTTTAGAAATTGAGATTTTTTAATTTTTTTAGTGTAGGTTTCTACTTAGCTGTGGGAGAAAGGCGTTCTAATCATTGTTTTGTGGTTCATATTAATTATAGTGTTCATCTTTCAATTGCTCAAACATTATAAGACCATCCTAATAATTATTATTTCCCCCCTTCTCTATATCCCTGCTAACAGATTTTGTTATCACATCATAGATTGACTTGAGGAGGGCCAACAACACTGAAATTATGCTCACTAAAGTTAAAATGCCGCTTCCTGATATGATGGTAAGCTGGATATGGTCATTTTCTTGCATTTATTAGTATTTCTCATAGATAACTAGGGAAGTACCTATGGTGTTCCATGGAAGTTTACCCCGGATATGTGAACAAGACAAGAGGGTTTTTTGGTTTTTGTTGTTTTGCTAGTGGTTGCACAGTTGCACTTATGTTTTCATAGGTGTGGTCTCCTTAGAGTCGTTAGCTTCTTCTACAGTATCTATTTTGGTGTAAATGCAAATTCTTAGGATTGTCATGCTATTCCAGACTCAATCAATGGAGGCATGGGGGAAAATAGGATTTTCTTTATTGATCTCCTCTCTCTTCTTCTCTCCCCCTTTATTGCCTTAGTTTTAACCAAAGATTTTTGGTTTTTATTTGTTAATTTACTATATGCAGCTTCGTGTATTTATCAGGCTGCAGTGATAGCAATGGATGATACAGTATTAGATGTTGATCAAGTGGAAAATCTCATAAAATTTTGTCCAACTAAAGAGGAAATGGAACTTCTCAAGGTGAATCTTTAGTGCATTAATATATGTAGGTTCAGTATCGTAAATAAGCTGTTTAAAATTTCTTTTTACATTGTATAAGAACCCCTTTACCATCAGTAGTTTGTCTTCTTTGATTATGATTTACCCCCTTTTCGTTTTTTAGAACTACACTGATGACAAGGAGACTCTGGGGAAGTGCGAACAGATTTTCTTTTTTCTGTCTAACCATATAATCTGAATTATCGATTTTTTAAACTTGGGTTCCTTAGTTGGTGGACTCGCTGATGGTTCATTACCATTGACATGTTAAATATTCTCTTTGTGAAAATTTATGTATTTGTCTTCATGTTCTTGTGAATTGTGACCTGCTAAAATCTTTCCCCCAGAGCATTTGGTTTACCGGTTGGTGCATGCTTCCTTTTGAATGATTGATTGAATTGCTGCTTTATGCCCACTCAGTTAAAGAAATTTCTTTTAAACTGAGATTCTTTGGTATGATAACGAAATACATATTCCTGGCTTATTCACTTTGATTGATTGAATTACTGCTTTCTTTTGAGTCAATTTTTAAGGGAGTGAGGGGGAACACTGCAAAACTCATATACCCCCCCTCCCCCTAAAAAAGAGTTCCTTTTTATTTTCCTCTCTTCCCTCATTTAATGTAAAGAGACTATATATGTATGAATTTATAACACTTGTTTAACCGTATCCTCTTCTGTTTCTTGATACATTAAGTGTTTATTTTCAATATTTAAGAAATATTTTATCAATTTGGAGAATTTTTACTTTCTAAGACCCTTCGGTATTATACTTAAAGAGGCATTTTGGCCATGAAAAAATCTTTTCATGTTATGGTTTAAAGATAGCAATTGGCATCGAAGGATTTATTTGTTTTTATCTTCTTGCTTTTTTTACGTGGACGTGTAATCCAAATTGAAGATGGTATTTCTGATAGCTACTACTTTATTTCCCTACTATATTTTTGAAACAATTGATGCCTGATAATTCCTCAATGAAGATGGTAACATTAGCGGAATTTTTTCAGTGATGTTGATCATTACTTTATGCATTTGATTGTAGATTTGACTAAAAGTTCAGTCTCGTTGTTCAAACAGAGGGATCATTACTTATGTATTTGATTGTAGATCACATTTCTCTGTTAAACTTTCATTTTGTTTACTTATTGGTTTATTCTTATTCTGAGAGATATAAACTAGTTCTCCACCTATTTGCATATGGGAAGAACTGTGGTCTAGCAAGAGTGTATATAATTGTACATTTAGTAGAGTGAGGGGTTTGCCTTCTTTTGACCTTGTGGATTTTGTGAGGAAGAGAAATAGAAGGATGTTCCAGGGAAGAAGTACCCTTCAAAATTCTCCTGTGTTGTGCTCCTATATTTATTAAAATGGCATCACTGACTGGAACTGCAAGAGGCTATTGATTTTATCTCTGTTCTGTTGGAGTTAGTTTTTTACTTCTGGAAGAACTGGCTTATTTCTTTATAGTAGTCTCTCTAATTCAAAAATGGGTAAAAAAGGAAAGAAAGGACAGATAATGTTCTGTAGTACTAGATTTTAGTTGATCCAACTGTAAGAAGATAGTTAAAGCTCTGGAGAAAAATGGTTTATCATATTGCATTGTAGCAAATACAAGATAACAATTTTCTGCTTTTCTCTTTTATGAAGAAATTCTATCTAAAACAACTAGCTCCTGGATGCTTCTCCAATGACATCTTTCATTTGATCCATCTTTATAACAACTTCTAAACCTGAAACGGGTTTTGATCTTTCATGTTCAGTACTTTTTGGAGCTGATGAAAGTGCCCCGAGTAGAGTCAAAATTGAGAGTGTTTTCTTTCAAGATTCAGTTCCGGACTCAGGTTTGGCGGTATCTCCATAGTTCTGATTTGATAAATTTACAGTTATTTAATAATTAATCTCATGGTTGTTTCTCCTTTTTATTTTATTGAATCACCCTTTTGAGCTCTGTTCTTACATGTTTTACCTCCTTCAGATTTCTGAATTTAGAAGGAGCTTAGAAACTGTAAACTCTGCATGTGATGAGGTATATTGCTAACGTTTCTGATGACTACAGTGTTTATTTGTTTTTATCTTACTACTTTTGTATTGGTTATTTAGGTACGCAATTCGGATAAATTGAAGGAAATCATGAAGAAAATTCTCTATCTAGGAAACACATTGAACCAAGGAACTGCACGGGGTAAGTGACATTCAATTTTCCTTTTGGCTTCAGTCTTTGATACTAGAACTGCAGCTTGTAAACTATATAGAAGAGATTTAATAGCTAAACCACATGTACTGCGATGTTTGTCTGGACCCATCACCCATGCATTTTAATGGTACTTGCTTTGGTGTTTACCTGCATTGTCGCATGTGAGATTGTGTCACAACATTTTGAGCAGCGTTCTTGTTCCTTAAACTCGAAATACTTGGTGTTAACCCAAGGCATAGATATGGTGTTGAAACTATGCTCATCATATCTTATTGAAGATACCTTAACTGTTTCTTATTCCAAATGATAGCTATATGCCTCTATTTATACTAGATACAATACAAATCAGGATCCAGCCCCATAAATGATCTTATCCCACAAATCAGTTTGTGTCTACAAATATGTTTATCCTTACTAATCTGGAACAATTATAACTGAATAATAGGAGATTTACGGCTAAAGAACCCATGAGATCCTCCAGCACTCCCCATCAAGCTGGTGAAAAATGTTCTCCATTCCTAGCTTGCTGGTAGTCTCTTGGAATGAAGCATTGGCTAACCCCTTAGTTAGTATGTCTGCCATCTGCCCGTGAGTATGGACATAGGCAATGCGAATTAATTGGCTTTCTAAGTTCTTTAAAACATATCGATCTTTTTCAATATGTTTGGTTCTATCATGCTGAATTGGAATGTAGGTGATATTAATAGTCAACTTGTTTACACCTGCATCTGGAGGCTGTTTACACCTGCATCTGGAGGCTACCCATGGAGACGATAAGTTTCCGAGGGTTTGAGGAATTATTTTGGATTCCAGTCGTTTTTCAGGTGATATTCAACAATGAAGGCAAAGAGTTTTTCTGGATTAAGGTTTAGCAATGAAGGCTGACAAGTTTCATAGGCTAAGGTTTCAGCAATGAAGGTTGTAAATGAATGGAGAAAAGTTTTCTAGGATACCTGACTTGGATAACATGTAGAGATCTTTGCTGCTTATTCCAAATGATAGCTATGTTCCTCTATTTATACATGGTGCAATAGCTATTCTAGGAAAGGGATCGGGATTCTTTTCCAAAAAATCAGCCTATACCTACAAATGAGGAACAATTATAGCTAAATAATAGGAGATTTAGAGCAATACCATATTTTCAACTAAAATTCCATGAGATTCTCCAACACTGGTAGTGCTATCAAAAAACAGTTCAACTGGTGAAAACCACCTTTTTTTTCTCAGAATACTATTTATAATTTAATGTCCAACTTATGTCCAGTTTCTTTAACATGCTGTTCTGTTTCTTTAACGTTGGCAGTTATTACCTTTAATGCCCAATGTCCACATTTATGTCTTTCATTTGGATTTTTAGACGAAGCTAGCGTCAATCAATTCTTCATTCCTTGTTATGCTACTAGTTCCTTTTCTTTTTGCCAAAGCTACTAGTTCCAGATGTCTGTTGATTTTTGTATGCATTTAACGCTGATCAACAATTCAGTTTTGACGAAGAGAAAACTACTGTTGCCTGTTCTTTTAATATGAGGTTTCAAATAATTTCTTATATACAGGTTCTGCTGTGGGGTTTAAGTTGGACAGTCTTCTAAAGCTCACAGATACACGTGCTGCTACCAGCAAGATGACGCTAATGCATTATCTTTGCAAGGTTTGGTTACTATTTTTTCTCTTTGGTTTAAGTAAGATCATTCTGTTTCTTTTAAGATTTGTCTGGAATTATGTTTTACACCTCGTTCATATGTTACTTTACTACTGGAGGCTTGTTTCTAATGCAAACAGAAATGGTTGATTTGAATCAAGTCTCAACTGTGTTTATTTGTGGCTCAGGTCCTAGCTGAAAAGAACCCAACACTATTAGATTTTCACCTCGAGTTTGTTAGCCTTGAAGCTGCAGCTAAGGTTTACATCAGTCTTTTTAGCATTTGAGTTAGTAGTTAACACTATGTTTAGTTGAAGGCTTGGGTCCTTGCAGATACACTTAAAAGTTTTAGCAGAAGAAATGCAAGCTATAACTAAGGGATTAGAAAAGGTTAAGCAGGAGTTGGCTGCCTCAGAAAATGATGGTCCTGTTTCTGATGTTTTTCGTAAGGTACATGGTTGTTACATTGCTTTTATTTTTTTGACATGCATAGATGGTAGTAACTGGATAACGAATATTTGATAAATAATAAACTCAGTTAACTAATAAAATCTTACAGTCTAAACCGGGCTTATTAATTGAGAAATGATAACCTCGGTAAATTCCTAAGATTCTGTTTCTCGAACTCTTCAATTTTTTTGAATTACCCATGTTACACTTGAATATAAGCTCCAAGGATCCTCCAAATATTTGGGGGGAAAATTAGAATATCTAACCATACACGTGCCGCATACATACTTGCATCTGACACATACCTGAGTCCGAGTAACATACCTAAGATAATATTTTTTTAAATTATTTATTTTGTAATTCTTTAGGCACAACAAACATAAAGTCATATAATATAATGGAAAATTTCACTTAACAGATTTTACCCTATTGTTTAAGCTCTTTTAAGAATATGCATTTAAAGTTGTTTTTCTTTGTGTCTAAAAGCCAAACTAAACCTTATTCTTTTTTTCCCCATACACATTCCACATTCGGCGCTTTCTTTTCATGTTGCAGCAAGTAGTTATTTCAGCTGACTATTGCTTGTATATATATATATATGAAACAATTAGTAGAATATAACTGTCATATGGATCTTGATCATCATCGGTAGGCATATTTATGATCCCTTCAATAATTTCTCTATCCTTAATTGATTCTTATCGGTATAGTGTTTTTCCTTTATATGTCATTCGTGTATCTTAGCAAAAGAAAATAGTAGTATACATGTATAAGAACTGAAAACATAAAACTCGATAACTAATAAATATCAACCACTAACTGAATTCTGAATTGGCTACAAGCTTCATTTTTTTCTCTTTTCTTTTATCACTCTTTGCCCGTGTAGTTATTTTATAAAATTGAACAAGATAAATGTTATGTCAACATGCTACATCTCAAAAACTAGGGTTTAGTAAATAAAGAACCATACTACGTGTTTATGATGCAAGGCATTAGCTTTGCGACACGAGTGATTATTGCTAATAAAGTGGAATATTAATAAGACAATATGGTTAGAAATAATACTTTCTATTGGAAAGTTCCTTCAGAAAATGTTCCCCAAGGCCTGTTCTATACATAGTAGTCCTTTCCAATTGAAGCAACACCAGGCTTGATATAATAATTTTTCTGATGCAATAGAGTGAGCATTTGCTATGGCCTTGTGACCTACATCAAACACTGTCAAATGCTTTTTATTTTTCAACGTAATGCTTTCATTTTTTGTAACGTTTTCTTTTCTTTTTCTGATTTAGACATTAAAAGAATTCGTTTCTGGAGCTGAAGCGGAGGCGGCATCTGTAACAAATCTATATACTGAAGTGGTAATTTGCCAACTGTTGACATTTTGTCGATATGTCATCGTTCTCCATCTCTTTTGATTGTGTCTTCAATCATTTTCTTAACCTTTATGGTGGACAGGGTAAAAATGCAGATTCACTTGCAGTCTATTTTGGTGAGGATCCTGCCCGATGCCCATTTGAGCAAGGTAACCTTTATGGATGAAACTTTCTTTCTTTTTTCTTCAACATTCGAACTCCAATTTGGGCCCTTATTGTTATTTCTTTTCAATGTGATCAATTTGGAAATAAGGATCAATCATGGTATGGTTGATGAACCAGGGTGTCTTGTTAGGGTCAAAACCGAAGGAAAATCTTCCGGAACAAGTAAAAAGAAAAAGGAAAGATGAGAATGAGCTATCTAGAGAAGGATAAAGGCAATTATGTGATTGAATTTAGAGTCGAACATGAAAAAAATGGAGAAAAGGGTGTTCCAAACTTAACAAATAGTTGAAAGATAATCGAAAGTAGTTGTATAGTTTCTTTATAAAATAAAATAAAAAAACTAGGGTTTCTTGAATTTTTATACATTTGGTCAGAATGGAGGAAATGGCTTATTGGTACAACCAATTTAGACCTGGTCATATTGGTTTTTATGTAGAAATAAAATCAGGCTTTTATATCAAATATTCTTCCTTTAAGTTGTTAGATCTTCAAAAAATATATATTTTTTTCTTTTTTTGTTTCATCACTCATCTGTTTTATTGTACTCTGATTATGTTTAATATTAATGTATTAGCGTCTTTATCGTAGTTATGATTTCGGTTATTTCAATCTAAATTATGGTGATTTGAAGTTAAATTATTTGTATCCGATGCCTGCATTTGGTCAATGCAGTTACAACAACAATCTTAAATTTTGTGAGGTTGTTTCGAAAAGCACACGAAGAGAATATGAAGCAGGCCGAAGTGGAGCAGAAGAAAGTTGAGAAGGAGGCCGAAACGGACAAGGACAAGGGAACAAAAGAAGAAGAATAGTCGAGGATTGGTTTCTCTATTCCTACAGAGGTAATATTGCCCGTCTAGCAGCTGATGTCTATGCCGAAGAGTTCGACTCAATGACAGGAAATGCTGCCTTGTAGGGCTGTTGACTGATGATGCCTACCATTCTCTGGTATGGTGCAATTTTAAAGCCTTCAGAAATTTTGTAAGTGAGGCAAGGGCCTTGTTCTAGAAGCTTGCTGGCCTCGAACTTTGCATGGGGCTTCAGGAGACAGTTTTATACAGTAAGTTTCTCAATCCCATTATCGTTGAATGACCAGTGCAACTTTCGGAGCAGATGTCAGATGGACCAGGCTTCGAAGCAGAGTGGTTATGACCACAGCCGAGCAGAGCCGAGGTTCTTAAATGCAGGCTATCAAGGTCACTGCTATGGCACTTCTAGCATTAACATCATTCTGAACTCGGTGTTGCGGTCCATCACTTGGCGATGTTAGACGACCTCTTTTCAGCTTCCGCCATTCATTTACCGTAATTCCTTCAGCTCCGAAGCGGATGTGGGACTGTCGACACTGGAAGTTCTACTGTACCATTAAAAAGTGTAGGTGTACAAAAGCTCTAGCCACACAGTAAGCGAGCATACAGCAAAAACACCACCCATAAGCAAAATCTGCAAGTAAATCTCAGGAAAATAGGTTGAGAATCTTACGACAGAATATACAATCAACAATGTATAGAAAGAGAAGCAACGACCAATACTTCCTAATTATATATTAAGAAACCCCAGTGCGTACACTATATCTCTTACGTACGTAGACATGTACGTAAAACAAGAGAACTACTCCAATAAACTTAGCACAAATCAATATTTGGGATGAAGTATACATTCATAATCGGATGAAGATAGCAAAAATATGAATAAAAACCATCATTACATGAAACTTAGCTAGCCTACAGCATCATTTTGAGATCATCAACGATTAAGATACATGACTAAAAATACAGAAATGCACGAGCAATATTGAACATCAACAATCCCACAAATTCAGAGAAAAGAAAATTCAACTATAATTTTATGGTAATGAATATCGGTTAATACAATGAGGGAAACATGGTCAAGAAACTTACTTCTTCCATGAAAAATAGAGACCATACTCCAGGGTAGAAGAAGTCAATAAATTCAGGCAATGTACTAAGAATGGATATGAAATGACGACCACGAGACAATCAACTGAGAAAAACATCAAAAGTGAAAGATGAATCCAAGGTTTAAGCTGTTACAGGTTTTTTTCTATTGATATTAGGTTTAACAGAAAGGTTTTGGCATAGAAGGAATCAGATAAGTCAGTCTGAGTTAAGTCGTCGCCTCTTCCCATAATCAGCATCTCTAGATCTAGAACATTGTTCCTCTTCCTGTTGTAATCGTGACTTGCTGTGAGTCTTTGATGACCGTCCCCTATCCCAATCATTATCATGCTCAGGCTCACGGTCCCTGTACCTACGATGATCTACATATTTGTCTTTGTCTTCCCTATATTGGTCCTGATCCTGGTCTCGATCATGTTCCCTATCACGGTTGCGATTATGATCTCGAGAGCGCTCCCTATCTCGTTCTCGGCCAACTTCTCTATCATCCTGGTGCCCTCTCCCCGACCAATCAGGACCACGGCCCATATCCTTCTCTCTGGGCATGTCCCTATCATATCCCGGTTCTCTATCATCGTGATGCCTTCTTTCAGATGAGCCAGACAACTCCTTTTCTGAAACTCTATCTTTTTCTTTTGTAGGATTTTGCCAACCTACTCTCTCATGACTAGCCTCACCATGTTGATGATCAAATGCAGCTTCCTCCCTATAACTGGACTCTCCAGCTCTGCCACCACCCCATCCTCCCATGCCGGGATCTGACCATCTCATATTAGGCCCATCTACACCACTTGCAGGCATCATCCTCATACTATTCATGGCCATTCCTCTTCCAAAAAATGCAGGGTTAACATGAGGAGCCACTCCAGGCAAGCCAACACCACCAACAGGAGGGAACAGATTTATAATCCCAGAAAAGGGAGGCGTTAGAGAGCCAGGAAAGCATCCATAACTGCCCATTCTTCCCATAGCTCCACCAAAAGCAGGACCAAAACCTTGACCCATCATAGACTGTGGATGCATGAAAGGTGGCGCTGCACCAATACCCTGTCCGAAACCATTTCCCATGACACCTCTACCACCCCTCCCACCACCCCTGTTCCTCATAGGACCAGCAGGCCCTCTATTTCCCATGCCCTGGGCATTGCCTCTTCCCATGTTCCCTCTCCCGTAACCTCTGTTATTATCCCCACCTTGATAATTCCCACCGGTTTGAATGTTATTGCCAACAGGCTTGCCCTCAAAATCATCAGGGCCCCTTGTGAAAGAGAAGACTGTCATCTGTTGGTTCCAATTCAATTGAGCCTCTCCCATTTTCTTAACAATAAATGGTGACGCAAAGGAAACAACACGAGGCCTTCCATTAAACATGTGCCCATTCATTCCCTCCTTACAAGATGTGGCTGCGGCTGGATCATAAAACTCAACCTGACAGTATCCTTTCGACTTCCCACTTGCTTTCTCATAAAAAACTTCACTTCCTTTACGGGCCCATGCTTGCACAACTGTAACTCCAGTTCGGCATCCCCAACAAACAAATAGTCCCACCACCACTTCCACCTCCACTTGTACCAACACCAGGAGCAGAACCAGGAACAGCACTAGGCACACTCACATTTCCAACGCCATTTCCAATCATAGGACCACTGCCACCACCACCGTTCGCATTCATATTCCCACCTCCTACTCCTTGCGTCATCAAACCCTCATTCTCAACGCTCCCCGCATTCCCTGCACCATGCCCCTGTTGTCCCGTACTACCCACACCAACTAAGCCAGTGTTGTTATTATCCCTACTCTTCTGTACAGCCATATCATTCAACTTACTAGACACTTGTGCCAATTCAACCCTAAGCCCACTTCCACCACTACTGATACACGCATTAGGTCCCTTCACATCGTTATAAGCATCACCTCTCAACCCTTGACTATCGTAAGAAACCCTAGAATCCCCTCTTTCAACACCATCTGCACCCCCTGGATTTGAAACACCAGGTTCGGGCGCACCATTAACTTTACCACCAATATTATTATTGTTATTACCAACATTATCATTCCAATTTTCACTATCCTTAGGTTTTTTTTTAGAGTTTGAAGAAACCCTTCGCCAACATTAACATCATTATAAAGATCCTCATAATCATCTTCTTCTTCACCTAGAAAACCCTCGTCAGCAACAGCTGAGATTGCTTCGTTTCTATGGAACTGTTCCATCTGACCACCTCCCTTTCCATCATCCATATTTCCCCTCAAAATTCTCAAAATAATTATATATATATATATATATCCTTAAACAATTTCAAAGCTTTGAACTTTTCCCCTTGATTCCTGGGAATAAATAAGATAAAGTCTAAATTTAACAAACTTATAACATAAATAAATTGTAATTCGTTAACGAATTTAGGGATCTTGCCAGGTTGGTTCAAGTGAGACCAAAGAGAGAGAAGGAAGTGAAACCCTAATCTTGAAAATTTGGGAATTTACATTGGATATTTTGTCTGGGATTTTCATTTTAAGTAACGATAAAATACTAACATGCGCCTCTGTGCATAGATTTCAAACGCCATTTTTGTTTTTAATTATTACATTTTCTATTATTAAAAAACACATTAAATATTTTCCTTTAAACTCTTTTTCTCTAATAACTCTTACATTTTCTCTAATTCAAGTGATAAAACTAATACATATAAAATGTAGGATAAAATACACAAATAGTTCTCCAACTATAGGATATTGTTTTATTAAGTCTCTTAACAATTAAAAGTTATAAAATGACCCTCTAATTATAGGGTGTTGGTTTGTTGAGTCCATCGACTATTAAAAATTACAAAATAGTCATCCGACTATTTATTATGTTCTAAACTCATCATTTTTCATTAAAAATTAAAGGTATTCCGAGCTGAACGTTATGCTAACTGTGATATGATAAAATCTGATCCTAAAATCTCAAATGACTATCATATCTTAGTCATCATGTTAACGTTTAACTTAGATAATCGTTAATATTTTAACGGAAAATGATAAGTTTGGAACATAATAAATAGTTGGGTGATAATTTTGTAGCTTTTAATAATCGAAGGACTTAACAAAGATACATTTTATAATCAGATGACCAATTTATAACTTTTACTAGTCGAGAGACTTAATAAAGCAGTACCCCTACAATCGTATATCATTTGTATACTTTTACCCTAAAATGTATCTTTTTTTTAATAAAAAAAAAAGTTGTTTTCATTTTTTGAAAGATTCTAATTCCACATATTTTATAAAATTAATACTTTTATGACTAATGAAACCAAATTAGTCATTGTAGTAACAAAGATTAATCATCTAAAATCATGCCAATAATAGGAAGATCAATCATTCAAGCTCGTTTCTTATAAGTTTGCAACAAGACAGAAGTTTCTATAACTAGTAATTGGAGATAAGCTTGAACCTCATCCTATCTTATACCAAAACAAGTTGTATTGGCTTAACATTCATTCCCACTATGAAATACATTTGCATCTCATTCATTCTAAACATATATTGCATGTGGAGACTTATATGGATTTATTTTAATTTATTTGACGTCAATGTATTAATAGATTAAAAAAATATAAGAATTTATTAAATGTTTAATCAAGCAATGACTGAACTAATGAATGATAACCTCGTGTTCTCAAAATTTTTGGTCTAGTAACAATTTAGGTCATTGTAAGTTTAAATATTAGACAAATTAGGTTATATCTTGTGAATTTTGAGATTTTTTTTTGAATCTAGGGTGAATAAGGTAATATATGTACAAAGACTCCTAACTATTCGACAATGAACGCTCATACCCCTATATGTGCAATGCTCGAACTCGAGAACTCAAGGATAACAACAATCCCTTAATCATTAAGGTAATATCTAGCGTTAAGTGTTTGTTTATAAATCATTGGGTAAGATTAAAAACGGGGAGATGAATTCTCTCTCGATAATTGCTCATCGTCATCTTTAATCTGATGACTATTTTCTTCTTTCTTCGTTATGAAATAATCGACTATAATTCTTGTTGAGTTAATCGATTGACGGAATCGACCAAGAGGGGGGTGAATTGGCAATTAAAATTTTGTGGAAGCTTTTGCAGAAAATTGAAAGTAATTGCACAGCGATTTAGAGTGGTTCGACTTTCTCAATCAAAGTCTACGTCCACTACCTTAGCTATCCACACTAAGGATTTTCCAACAAATTCACTAATTTGTTCTTTCTTTTGAGGCAAAAGAGATAACCTTACAACACCCTCAAGAATTATACCTCAATTCTTGAGAACACTCTTTCTCAAAGAGAATATTACAAATTTCGCAAACTTACAAGGAAAACCTCACAAGGTAAGATGTTTGCACAATTCTAGAACAAAGAAATAACACTCAAGAATAAATATAATTGAGCACAATAAGTGTTCTTGAAAGCAAAATGAATATTAAATGAAAAATAGGCTTGAAATGCTCAAACTTGAGGTTTGATGTTTTCTCTTTGATTCTCTCTTGATTCTAGTTGCTTGATGTTTCTTGTTATTGATCAATGGCTTCTAAGCTTGTTTAAATACACCTTGAATCACTTCTGAACGTTGGGGATCATTAATGAAGTTATTGGAGCCGTTTAAGTGTGAAAATAATTAATATTTCTGCTTGGAGCGTGGGAGGAATTGGTACCCCCTCGTGGGAGGAATCGGTACCCCCTAATGGGGAATCGGTTCCCTAAGTGTAAAATTCAAATATTCGACCGTTGAACAGTGGGAGGAATCGATACCCCCTGGGGGAAATCGGTTCCCTCTGGACAAACTGTAATTTTTTGCTTTGAAACGGTTCGAAATACTTTGTAAAATTGTTTTGAAATTATTTTAAGATTAAAACTTAATTTTACACTTTAGTAAGGATTTAAAATGAACTTTGAAATACTTTGAGTAATATTTTGATATTCGATTTAATATATCGAATATGCTTAGAAAAATCATTTTCAAAATTAAAATTCTTTTAATTTAATTTGTTATATCAAAACATCATAATGTTTTCAACAATTATCTATCCATTTAAAAATAAATAAAGCGTTTATAATTATCAGGATCCAATTCATATTTTGTTAAGATAAATTATAGATTTGATCACTTAAAATTTGCCTTTCTTTATTAATATATATTGTACAAGTGAAATTAATAGAATAATGTAATTTGTGGGGTTTAATGAACCAAAATATTAGGCCTCTTAATCCGTGAGAAAAATGGTTAAAGTGTCATGTCGTGTAGGACTCTAAATTGACCTAATACTCCACGTGCTTTTTAAATTTACACTTATGTTAAACAAAATATAAAATAATTAATTTTAATAACACAAGCATATTCTTACATGATAATTAGAAAATGGTTGATAATTCCAAATAGGGAAATCATGAACCATGACATTAGTGAATGACATAAGCCAAATCTTTTATGTATAAATTATGAAGGATAAATATATATTTTAGCATGTGAACTTTGATTTTAAGGTATAATTTGATTTTTATTTATTGGATTAAGGGTTATCTTTGTCTATGTAATATATCTATTTTGTTATTTTCGTCCTTATCGTATTTTTACATCAATTGAGCCTTTAAAGTTATTTAATTGCATCATTCTATATCTTACTCTATCATAAAACCCTAAATCATAAACTCTGAGTTAGTGTTTAGAGTTTAAGGTTTAAGGTTTAGGGTTTAGAGTTAGGGTTTTAAGTTGGTGTAGGGTATAAAATGATGCAATTGAGCAACTTCGGGAGTTAAATTGATGATAAAATGTGATAGAGTCGAAAGTGGTAAATTAAGTATACTAGAAGGACAAAAGTTATCATTTTACCTTATTTACTTTTTATCTAATTAGTTATATGAACATGATTTTAAAGTTTAATTTATTATTCATTTTTTTTACCTAATTAGGTATTTGAATTTGACTTTAAAATCCAAATGAGTACTTTAAGTTAATTTTATGATTATTTTGATTTAAATAAATCATTAGGCACAAGTATCGGCTTAGACCAAAAAAAATAAAGTTCATGTATGAATCTATAACTCAAATTCATGTATCTAATTAGACCAAAACCTCTTTACGTATCTAATTAAACTTTAAAACGAAATTCAGTTAAATAATTGGATAAAAAGGTTCAAATATTGAATTGATCTTTTAAACTAAGTTCATGTACAAAACTATATATTTACCCATTAATGAACCGAAGAATAGATTGAAGGGTAAATTACGTGTTTAGTATATAAACTATCAATTTTGGCCCGTTAAGTACCTAATCTTTCAATTTTTTCAAAAACATACTTAGTGTTTAGTTTTTGTTTCATTTTAGTAACCAGCCGTTAAAAACTTAACGGACGGGCTCGCCGGTCGTCACGTCTTTAGTCGTCGACCTTGAATGTGATTTCGACATCAATTTCACCGAAAAATGCCTCAATCTCCCCAAGTCGACAATAAACTCTTTGACTTCTTCATCCTCTGATCTTTGTCGTCAATCGTTTGATGGGCCTGAAACTAGATTATATTGGCCGACTCGTCATTCTCTTATGGTCCGCCATTCGAATTGGTCGTTGTCCACAGGAGCTGTCCCGTCAGTCCTTTCGTTATGTTTTTAACGGCGGGTACTAAAATAAAATAAAAACTAAACATTGTGTATGATTTTAAGAAATTAAAAGTTTAGGTACTAAAACAGACCAAAACTTATAATTTATATACTAAATGAGTAATTTACCCTAAATTAAATAGCCTCCGTTTTTCATATGATTTTTTCATAAACTTTTATACTCCACTTTTTTAAGTATTGCAATAATAATAATAATAATAATAACAAAACTAAAACTCAATTAATTTATATGACTTTTAGGGGGAAAATATATATAAATAGAGGATTGACAAGGTCTCTCTAATAAAATGGTACTATTACATTTGGAATCCCTTTTAAAAATTAAAAATTTAATTCCATCCTTATAATTTCATCTCAACCTCTAGAATTTCATGCTTCAGTTTAGAGTTTCCATTAAGAAAAATCTATAAACCAACTCAACCCCCCATATTTTCTTTTCTTATCTTTTGATCCATCAAATGCTTCAGTAATGCCAAAAACATCAAGATCCACCGGTCCTGCTGAAGAAGGTGCGCCTCGATCATCAAATGGCTTCTTCCCAGTTTCCAGATTCGATACTCCTGATGAAATTCCCGGGTTTCCGAATCCATGGTTTTCGATCAGAGCCCTCAACGACGACTGTTCCTGCACCGGAACGGAGCCCGGGAATCGAGGATCACCGCCGTGGAACGAGCTCGGAACCGGGAATTGTTGGAAAACCCGGGAGGAATTGTTGTTGTCGAAATTTTGATCGACTGTGTTTTGTTGATTGGAGAAGCAGGGCACGTACGGCGACCCGGCAAGAACCTGTTTGGTTGTGTTGCCGCCGTTAATGTACGCCGGTGAAGAATCCATTAATGGCGGTAAACCAGCAGGACGCAAATCGTTGGTGAAAGAGCTTGCCTTAACGAGGCCTGAAATATGGGTTTTTTCCCCATCTGATCCCTTCTGGAATACCCTGCAGATCACCCATTCATTCTGCAAAATAGAACTCCATGTTTAGCCAATTGCAACAACATTTAAATCCAAATCCCGAAAAAGCACTGTTATTCTCTCTAAAGATTCCAGTTCGAGCAGTTAGATGCAAGGTCACCTTGGCAGTTTTAGGGACATGGTGGATTGAGAAATGGCCATCGAGTCTATATTCATGCATGACCCAATTTGTTTTCACACCTTTAGGAGCTCTTCCTCTGTAAAAAACAAGAGTTTTCTTCACCCCCACCAATGATTTCCCTCTGTAAATCTCTTTATCTTTCCCAGTAGCTTTCCAGTACCCAGAATCAGTGGCCCTGTTCGTCCTCAAGCCAGTAGGGTATTTCCTATCCCTAACGCAGAAAAAATACCACTCCTTCTCTCCCATTTTTGCCTTCCCTGTTTTCCATCACACCAAACAGAAGATAAGAAAGCGTTAGAAATTAGAATATATTTTCCTGGGAAACAAACACATCTAGGAAAATCTTTTTGAACTGAGTCGAAGAAGAAAACTCTTAACATGGCAGTTCCCACGGCTCGGACTTGTTCAAATCAACATCTCCAATGGCTATTGAACTGAAATTGATGTCAAGCACTTTCTTGTACAAATATTGATTAATAAGCTCTTCATCTGTTGGGTGGAACCTGAAACCCGGTGGTAAATCCATTTTATCATCTTCTTCGCCAATCTTTTTCATTCCTGAAACAAACCCAAATCCCTTCCGTTCAAAATTCAGCTTAAAATCTTAAAGAAACCCACAAGTCTACATGCATACATGTGATGAGCAGGTGATATTCTTAGTTTTCAAGAGCACTTAAAAGGTCGAGAAAGAACTGAGAAGGAGATTAAAATGGAAATATGTGCAGCAAAGCTATAAGATCGAAAGCTTATATAAAGCTAAGGATTGAAAGGAAAGGGAGAAGCCATGGAAGAACTTGAAAAGAAGTAAACCTGAAAGATGGGGACAGAAACTTGGTTTCTAAGGCAACTTGGTAGGTTGTTTTATAATAATCATAATCATAGTCAAAGAGACGGAGTACATAATTTATTTTTTTTAATAATTTTCTTTTTGATATGTAATATATGTTTAAATTTTTATTTATTTATTGATAATATAATTTGATGATTGAATTTATTTCTTCCAAAAAAAAACACCCCTTTCTACAACTGAGGCTGCTAAGTAAATTTATAAAATAATAACTAGGGTAAAGAACGCAAATGGTATCTCGACTATATGATATTGTTTTATTAAATCTCTCGACTATTAAAAGTTATAAAATGATCATTTGACTATAGAAATTTATTTTGTTGTGTCCTTCGCTTATTAAAAGTTTCAAAATGGTCACTCGACTATTCATTATGTTCCAACTCTTCCTTTTCCGTAAAAAAATGAACGAATTCTAAGTTGAACGTTAACTTGTTGACTGTGATATGATAAAATTTGAACCAAAAATCTCGAACAACTATGATCTCCCAAACATCATATTAACATCTAACTTAAACAACCACCATTTTTAACGGAAGAGTACAAGTATGGAACATAAAAAATGGTTGAGTGCTCATTTTGTAATTTTTAATAGTCTAGGGACTCAAAAAAGTAAAACTATATAATCAAAAGATCATTTTATAACTTTTAATAATCAAGAGACTTAAGAAAGTAGTACCCTATAGTCGGAACCATTTATGTTCTTTACTCTAATAATTATTACACGATAATTTCATATATAATGATCTTCAAGTCCAAATATATTCAAACTTAAATTTAATTTAAATTAAAATAAATTTAGATAAAATCTACCTATAATATTTAGGTATTACGAAATTCAAAGTTATTTGATTGAACAAATAATAATAATATTTTTTTACAAAATAATAATGATACTTGTAATATGAACTTTATTAATACTAATACTTGTAATGTTGATGATAGTTTTATTCTATTACACCTAAATGTTTTAATATAATATTTAAAAATCATAGATTAATATATATTTATAAATAAATATTTATTAATGAGTCATTTATAATACTTAAATATGAATAAAATTGAGTTTTTGAATTATTATTATTATTATTATTATTATTATTTATTATCATCATCATTTGATGATGATCAACATCATAAATATGAATAAAATAGTTGTTCAAATTTTATTTTGATTAATATTTTTTAAGACTAAAAACTTAAATATATTTATAGATATTTATTTTTTGGGTAAATTATGTATTTAGTACCTAAACAATCAGTTTTGATATATTTAAGTACTTAAACTTATAATTTTTTTCAAAATCATATCTAAAGTTTAGATTTTGTTTCATTTTAATACCCCCTTCAAAATTTAACATTAAGTTTTGAAAAAAATTTTGAAAGTTGAGGTACTAAAACGCGTTAACTTTTTAATAGCATGATACTAAAATGAAATAAAAACTAAACATTAGGTATGATTTAAAAAAAATTATATACTAAAGCAAATTAAAACTGATAGTTTAGATAGTAAATACGTAATTTACTTTTATTTTTTTATTTAGGGTCTATGAGATTATAGTTAAAGGTATTGTATAAACACCGACGATTGTCATGGAAGTCGCCAGTAAATACCGACGGCTTTAGAATAAGGATTAAAATAAATGTATTAAAATATTAAATCAAAATAAAACAATTTTATTTTGAAAAAAAAATACATGTGAAGTCCTTAGTAACTACACACGTCTACAATGAAAATTATTGATAATTATACACGACATCGACAGAATCATCGATTTTAAAAACTTTTTTATAACATATCTCTAATTTAACCATGACTTCATCCTTATTCAATCTCCATCATCATCATTATCACCATCATCATCTAAGTGGAAGATCAACCTTAAAATATATGGAAAAAAAAATCTAATTTTCTTGTATAAAATGAATTGGGGTGTTGATGTTTGACAAGCACAAACATGTAAGAGCCTTTTGAGCTCTAGAAACTTGAAGGTGCATTCATACCAAATGCTAACTTTACTATAAGTAATTAATTTCATACCACAAAAGACTTTACCCACTAAAACACATAAGTTAAAAGATTCAACTACTATTATTATTATTATTATTATTATTATTATTATTATTAATTGACCATATATTAAATAAAAATCATTTCGTATATATATCGTGTAAAATTTAGACTCTATAAATATATTTATTTAAATATTAAATAATTCTAAATTCTAAATAGTAAACTATAAACCTTAAACGCCGAAACATATTATTATAAACCTTAAATTATAAATAAAACAGATGACATCAATACATCCACTTGTGAAATATTTTCTCCGTTATCAAGGTATGGAATAATAACGTATAAATAAAATTTTATTAAATTAATTAAAATAAAAATTGATTATTTATTTTATAATATATTTCTAACCCTAAAAAAATCAACTCGCCGCTGGAAGTGTTCAAACGGGTAATTCGATTAACCGACCAAATCGAATTACCTAAATTTCATTAATCGGATTTTTTCCCTTTAACTATTAATTGAATCGATTTTATTTTCAAAAAAATTAACCGAACCGAACTAAGTTCGGTTCATTGGTCTGTTAATTGAATTAATCAAAATTTATAAGTAATATATATTTAATATTTAATATCTCTGGGTTTTTTTATTAATTAGGTTAAAATTGAAGTTTAAACGCCCCTAAAATTAAATAATGTATATAATATATTAAATATTTATTAATTTTAATTAATTCGATTAATTATCCAATTTTAAACCGAATTAACTAAAATCGAAGTTTTAAAAAAATCGTTAATAGTTAACCGATCGAACCTATGATTAAGTTTTAACGGAACTATCTAACACCCCTACTTGCCACAAAATATTATCAGCCTAAGTTTGCAGCACAATCGGAAAGGCAAATTCACTTATAAAATAAATAATAAAAAAAGCAAAAAGAAAAGAAGAAATATTACATGCTTTGCTTTACCATAAAACAAGTAGTGTTAATCATATATTGTCATAGTGGTAAAGATCGTATTAGAACACAAGACTTTGAATTTAAGTTCTTATTTATTTACTTTTCCTTTTATATAAAATTTAGGGTAAAATATATAAATGATCCTCTAACTATAGAATATTACTTTATTAAGTCTATTGACTATTAAAAGTTACAAAATAGTCCTTTTGTAACACCCTAGTCTACTTAGGCCCAAAGATCCATGGATTACAATGTTACACAGGACTATCGAAATAGTGACCCAAAATTTTCTTTTTAAGCTGCTTGTAAATCTCTGAAATTTAAACATTCATAATGTAATATAAAAATATAATAATAAACTGTGTTTACAAATAATGGGAAGCTCCCAAAATACATCCACAAAATAATACAAAATACTAAGTTTCAAAAGAGTTACAACTGAATACATAACAAGGTTCATAATAGTGCATGCCCTCTAAAGATGACTCAAGACGTACTCTGAAAGGTCTCTGGGAATCTGATATGCTGCACTGGAATATCTAATGACGATAGCTCCATACAATCTGCTCCCTAAGAACCTACGCACGGAAACACATTTCGTACGCTGAGCTTATGAGCTCAGTGCCTCACTGAAAATTGTACTATACTATATGCATTCACTAGATGAAGTGACAAGTGGCACATGTCTGAGTGCACAACTACTGGACTGCTAATCTATGGCTAACATCATGGTGCGACTGAGCGATTCTGCATCTCGGAGATCACTCACCCCTCTAGCATTGCCAAAGCACCATTGGGTACTCTTGGGTGAGATACGAAATTCTACATCGGAACGTACACCCATCAATTTACTCCGTCGAGTCTTGGGGCATCTGCGCCCAGTCGGCTGTTGTAGTATCGTGGCATTGAATTGGATCCACTAACTTTCGTATTTCTGCTAAAAGAAACTTGCGTGTCATGATTGTTTCTCGAGCATCAACCAATGCTAGTTTTATGTAAACCTAGCTATTTTTGCTTCTACTGTTATGATATTAATTATTGTTCTCGCTTGAAGTCTTATTTGAGGATATACTGAAGTGTTGGGTACCTCGAGTTTAATTCCCTTAAAAATTGGCCTTTTTGTCCAAAATAGACTGAAAGTATCGATACTCCTGCAAAAGTTTCGATAATTTATATAAGTATCGACACTTTTAAACATTTTGTTCTGCCTAGTTTTGAAACTTTCTAGGAGTTTTGAAACTCTGACCCAAAGTATCGATACTCTTGAAAGAGATATCGATACTTTTACTCAGAAACTCACGAGTTTGCCTAAGAAGAAGAACAAGTTTCGATAATATCCCTCTGTATCGAAACTCAACCTGCAGAGAGCATAAAATAGGTACAAAAACTCCTATTCTACTATCTCAAAGACCTTAGTGAGGTCTCCAAACATTATTAATGTTTTATGAAGATACAAAGGAGCATAAATAGGGCTTTAAACATGTTTATAACTCTAAAACATGAAATCTACTATGAGAATGCTTCAAGCTTATGGAACCTACTACATTTAATCTAAATGACTTACATATGACATAGTTGAGTTAAGAGTAAGTTACCTTTGATGTTATACTGTTGGAAACGTCAAAGGCTCAGCCCAAAGTAAGCTTTTCCTCCCCTTAGCTTTGGAGTCTTCTTCAACCTCTTGCACTAAACAAAACCAAATACAAGGATTACTAACTGTTGCTAGGGGTTAAAGAGGGTTTTAAAACACTTTCTAAGGCTAGAAATATATGAAAAAAATGGGTTGGAACCATATAGTTCCTAAAACCATTGTAAACCCGTTCTTGCAATTATGGTGAAATGGGTGTCTTGAAAGCTTGAAACAAAGCTTAGGATACAAGGATCATGATTGTTACCTTTAGGTTGTTGAACTAGGGTTGCAAGACTAACAAGTTTATACCTTTACTTGGTTATTGGAGAGGAAGAAAGAGTTATGAAGATGAAGACTTGAAGAGGAAGAAGAGATAAATGAGAGTTTAGAAGAAAAAAAGGTGTATCAGACGTGATATCACCAAACAATTAAGGATTTTAGCCTTAATTTTGAACAAGGGTAAAATTGAATCTTTGGTCCCTCTAATTCTAACTGTAGATTAAAAACACCCTTTTTATTTCACTATTGGGCTCAACTCAAGCCCAAATCCTCTTCAATTGGCTCAAGGCTTCATACAAGCTAAGGAATTAAACCAAGGCCCATCTCGGGTTAGCTCAATACTTTTAATCTGGGCTTCGGGGCGTTACACCTTTGACTATGTGAAGTTGCTTTGTTGAGTCATTTGACTATTACAAGTTACAAAATGGTCATCCAACTATTCTTTATGTTCAAAACTTGTCATTTTTATTTAAAAAATTGACGGTAGTCTGAACCGCACGTTAACCAGCTAACCGAGATATAATAAAAATATGATCTCATAATCTTAAACGACTATCATATCTCAGTCAGTATGTTAACGCCTAACTCGTATAATCGTTAATTTTTTAATAGAAAAAATCTAGTTTGAAACAGAATGAATATTCGAGTGACCATTTTGTAACTTTTAATAGTCAAGGTACTCAATAAAATATTATCTTATAATTGGAGACCATTTGTATATTTTACTCTAAAATGCAGATATCATGGAAGTAATTATTTCTTTTATGCCAGTGATTAAACATATTTTTTAAAACACGATAATATTATAAAGAACACATTAGTATAATTATAAAAAAAATATATATATATTTTATTACTATTTGAAAGTGACTACATTTTCAGTTCAAGATGAAAGCCAATAATTGAAAGACACGTGTCCAATTAAGCTTCTTTGAGGAATTTCAATCGTCTAGGTAACTTATCATTAATAAACGTCCATATCTGCCACGTAGGAGTAGCGGTTAAAGTCCAAACCCTGTCTGCCACATGGCAGATTGTCATCGTCTTTGCTTAACCAACTCATGTTACTTTAATAAAACCCGTTTGCCTATTCTAAAGCTGACGTGGCAGTTAATCACACCTCTTGAGCTAAATTTGAACAAACCTTAACACATAATGTAACTTAAACCTAAATAAATGTGGGGTAAACTACACATTTAGTACTTAAACTATCAATACTAATACATTTTAGTACCTAAATTTTAATTTTTTTCAAAATCAAATCTAATGTTTAGCTTTTGTTTCATTTTAATATCCTTCGTTAAAAATTTAATGTGTCTAGTACCTAAACTATCAATTTTGATCTGTTTAGTACCTAAAACTTTAATTTTTTTCAAAGCTTAACGTTAAATTTTGAATAACATACTAAAATGAAGCAAAAACTAAAACTTTTAAAGACAATGTACTAAAATGATACAAAAGATAAGCTTTAAGTATGATTTTGAAAAAAATTAAAAGTTCAGATACTACAAATCAAAACTGATAATTAGATACTAAATGCGTAATTTACCCATAAATGTGAATATAAATCTATATAATTTACCCAAAATAAAAAAACAAAATCAAGTCAGATCAAACCGAATCATTTTAGATGTTACATGGGCCATACTAGAATAGAAAAATTAGCCCATATTTCAGATCGAACACGAGTGAAGGATTAATAAAGACCCGTTATCCAAACCCGGTCACCGGTCGGGCGATGATAAGGTCTAGTCCCTACCCCATGGCCACCCGTTTGTCCTAGTTCTAACAGGGAAATCAGACACCAAAATAATGTTGAATTCACAGTAACATACCATACCATACCATACCATTGCATTGTAATTGTTTTCACGTTTGTTAATGTTGCCTTACGATATTGATACCACAACAACATACAATAGTTTAACCTAAATGTGCTTCATACCAGACAGCAACTTACAACAATTTTAATCTAATTTTATTGGCATTAAACCTAAGAAACCTTCTTCTGTTTCTTGTCTTGCCACTCCTTGATTTCGGCTTTGATCTTCGAGTTCACACGGCCCTGAAATCCGGGATACGGTTCGTACCCGAATAAAGATTGGAGAACCTGCAGCAAGTGAAGAAAAGGCTAAAATCAAAGATCGATTATAGTTTTGGAAAATCTTCTTTTCGTTTTCGTACAACGGCGAAAATTACTTCACCTACCTCGAGCAAAACAAAGAAAGGAGCCATCAGAAGTGCTTGAACAAGATTGTCCAACAGCGCGGGTGCTCGTTTCTACAAATGAACGTATTAATGAATGGTTTTAAACGAGTTTGAGAAAAGATGATTGGAGCAAAGAATTAATTCTATGATTATGGCCATCGCTCACCTCAAACACTCCATGGCCAAGAAACTGTCCAGCCCAGCAAAGCACTTGAGCAACCAGCACAACCTGAACGGACAGAATGGAGTTAAACTTCAGGCGAATAATTGAACATACTAACGAAAATAACCCTTCCTTTGGCTCTTTCGATTCAACTATAACCCGAGATTTCATCGCTTTACTTCTTCGTCTTCTCCGGATTTCTTCCTCACAATTTACAAGCTCATCCGGCCTTCCACCACCACCCACAACCAATCTATTCCTCAATGAAGCATTTCTACTCCCCTTCGATATTTTCATTTAAGCAAACCTGAGTAAGATTCACTTGTGCACGAGTACATTTTCTTAGTCTTGAACCATGTGTTTCTGATATTTTCTGTGTTGATTAAGTTTCTCGGTTAGGTACAAATTTAATAGATACCGGTTTCGTGTAGTTAGGTTTGAGGCGAATAAAGCTTTTGTTATTTTATAGAGGGGGAGAGCTAAGATAAGGAACCCCAGTGAGACGAGTTCCATTTATAAAGCAAAGGGGGAGAATCAAGGAAAAAAATCACCTTAAATGTTTGCTATTAAAGCCAATGGACTTATTTCAGTTGATGTGCAGCGCTGAGGATTCGTGGTTTGTCGAGGTTTCTGATGGCAAGGAATGTGCTTGGGGTTGTAGCTACAATAGTTGGGTATCAACTTGGCATTAACAGCATCGAAATGTTCTGACATTTCTACAATGAGACTCTAGAAAAAAGTTGCATTCGAGCCAAAAGGACATTCCAAGAAACTTGAGATAAACTCAGGAATTTCACCCTAAAAAAAGGATTCTCCTCAAGCCAAAGCGTTATCAAATGTGTAAACCGGATGATAATAATGAGAATCTGACCAATGAAGTTGTTAATTGATAGATCAAGATAGTACAAACGAAACAACGACTGAACTCACTGCAAGATAAGATAGAGGAGCTTGTGAGCACCGAGGTTGGAAATGTCGGAACTCGACCGACAAAAGGCAATCGTGTCCGAAATTAAGGGAAAATAGTTGGATGAGTGAATTGAGGGGTTCAAAGGAGCCAGTTAGCTCAAGGCTTTCCATGTCGGCAAGATCAAGATTCAAAGATAAACAGTCCACTCTAGGTGCATAGGTCAATGGTTGAGTTCCACTAAGTTAAGATAGCTTCATTTAAAGCCAAGTTGATGTTCATTAATGCTTTCAAATCAAAAGGGTAAAAAATGTTGGATTAAAAAGCAAAGGTTTCACCATTATCAGGCTCTGCAATGAACAAAAGAGAATGAAATCTTTCTATCTCCACCGGATTCCTATAAGAAATTATATCACAAATCTAGTTTCTTTCAAACAAGCAACTCAACATGCAAATCAACAATATATATATAAACATGTTTAAAAATCCAACAAGAAATCAACAATGAAAAAGAAAAAAAAAATTACCTTCCAAGCAAGAGAATATCCAAGCTTTGCAGCAATAAAACTAGCCCCAAGCCAGCAAGCCAAGCAAAGCAAAGCGGCCAAAGACCCAGCTTTCTTATCCAAAACCACATAAAACAAGCCAAGGAAGAGAGAAAAAGCAGACCCATAGTTTAAAACCAAAGCATGATTAAACCCAGAAGGGAGGATCCCAGCTTGAGAGAGATCACAGAACGCTGGAGTGAAGTAGAAAAGTATAAGCGATGTGAAGAATATCGGCCATACAAATAAAGTGTGTATCAAAATGTTAATTGGGTTGCTGTGATATGCTCCATAAAACGCAAAATGGTTCTCGAGATCGAGCAATCTTAGCTTTCCCATCTGGGGAGGAAGAAATTATTTTTCTTTTTTCTGTTCGTTCTGATTTTCCGGGAAAATATAGAAGTGGTTTGTAACTTAAGGTTAGTGTTTGGACGCTTAGAAATTAACGGCGTTTGCATTGAAACGCACGCGCCAATTTTCACGTGTGGACGCTGATTAACATTAACTAATGCTTGCTTTGTTAGGTACATTTTCATTTATTAAGTTTATAGTATTTTTTAATCGAACAAATATCAAATTCTCCTTAAGAAGAAATAAATTAATAAATTTAAAATTTCAAAGTTTAATAATTATTAATTATGACAGCCGACAATGATTGATGATGATAATTGACGGTAATTGACAATAATAATAATAATGAGTTATCGTAATTTTTTATTGAGTTTAGAGATTAAATTAATATTTGATCTAAAATTTAAAATTGGTTAATATTTTAACTATTTTAGGGATAAATATAAAAATAGTTCTCTGACTATAAGATATTGTTTTATTAAGTCTCTTGATTATTAAAAGTTATAAAATGATTCATCAGTTACTTTATTGTGTCCATCGACTATTAAAAGTTACAAAATGGTCACTCGACTATTCATTATGTTCCAAATTTATCTTTGTTCGTTAAAAAAATTAATTGTCGTCTGAGTTAGAAGTTAATATTTTTTTGTAAGTAATGGATTTAATTATTTAATTTCATGTCCAAATACAAGTCAATATCGAAGGCCAAAGTATTGCAAAGCCAAAACAATGGAGATCAATGGTGAAAAAGGCACCCACATGGATCCAACAAGGCTAGGGTTTGTGCCCTTTGTCTTCAGCCGCCAACATCTCTGCTATTGGACCAAAGTGAGATCCAACGGTTCACAATATGAGTCATCTTTTAGGGTTAAAAAAGGCTAATCCTCACCCATGCATCCACTTCATCAGCAACGGATTTGGCCTCTCAATCTGATTTTTTTGACGAAGTAATCCCTTTGTGGGAAAGAGTTTTCAAGAAAATCAAGGAACTGAAAAGAGATAGTGTTTAGTTTAAAACTAAACTCTAAAAGCGAGATCTTTTGTCTATAAACCCATGTGAATGTTGACTGATATATGATAGTTGTTTGAGATTATGAAATTATTTTTTTATCATATCCCAGTCAACAAGTTAACGTACAGCTCAGACTGTTGTCAACTTTTTAATAGAAAATGACGAGTTTGGAACATAACGAATAGTCGTGTGACCATTTTATAACTTTTAATAGTCAAGGGATTCTAAAAAGCAACTCCCTATAGTCAAAAGACTATTTTGTAACTTTTAATAGTCGATGGATTTAATAAAACAATATTTTATAGTCAATGGATCATTTATATAATTTACCCTATTATTATTAAACATATTAAACTGGTAAACAATAAAAATATTTATTACCATACCAAACGATGAAAGTTGTTACAAGCAAGAGCATGCTCTTTTCCCACAAACATTTTATAGTGCAACGATATGCAAGTTAATCATCACTCGGAGATGGAGCAATGGCGGATTCCGGGGCTGGAGTAGGAGGTTTGCCGCCCATAAATCCGAATTTCTTTATAAGCTCTTTAGCGATGAGCTCGTTGGCGGTGTCCGACGGATGATACTCGTCCCAAAACACGTATTTGGTTCGATCTCCGCACAATGTCGACGCGGGTGTGCATGTGAGAGCTGGTCGGATTCTTCCCAACGAACAGCATGGAGAATCAGCATTGTCAAATCCTGCAAAATTGTATTCAACTGTAATTAATTCAACCTCCACATGGAAATATCTTTAGCGACGGAATTACGAGTACCGACGACATAATTTCCGTCGCCAGTATTGTATGTTACGCTTTTTAAAAACGAAATAGTATTGGTGACGAAATATATATTTCAATAGAAAATTTCATTGAAGAAAGTTTCATTGTCTTGTAGCTTATAAGAAGGATTTCTTTTCTTATTCATGCATTAATGTAATGGTAAAATTGTGCATAAGTCATTAAAAATTGCAGATTTATAAGTTAATACAAGGGGAAGTTGCATTTTAGCTCCCTAAAATTAAATAAAATTATGATTCAGTCCTAAAAGTTAGGACTTACCATATCGATAAGGATTATGAATATCATCATCAATAACATTGTAAGCATCTCCGAACTTGAAGCTAGCATTGGGAAGTTCTGTTTCCAAATCATCTAATAACTTTCTTGCAGCTTTATTAATGAAGCTAAGAGCAAGCTTATTTGCTCTTTCTTGGCACTTTCCGGTTGTGCTGAGTACCCTTTGAAAGGGTATGCAACCCATTGGTCCTAGACCAAATACCATAAATTATTTCCTTGCCCCTAACTTGTGTAATACCTTAAAAAAACACTTAAACATAGAGTTAATTAGTATATTATGTTTAAATTTTAACGTGTTTTTTATCATATGTAAGTCAACTGAATGATTAATTGATTTGCCAAGAGCTGTTTCTGAAGCGTTTCCATCAAGTATTTGATGAAAGTTTGATCATTGTATTTCCAGGAATCACTATAAACCGACATTAAGTAATTGTTAATGAAGTCATTGCTCCCTAAAGCAACCACATAGCGAGCATCTTGAAAGAACTTATCGGTTGCTTGTTTCCCAAGTTTTTTTCTTGATCAATTCGATTGTCCCTTAGAATAACTCGATTTGCTTCGAGAGAGAAAACCTTTGAATCTACACGGATTAACCGAACGAGTCGAATTGAAATTCGATAATTAAATCGAGAATCGAACGTAAGACGAGGTCATTATATATAATTAGGGTTATATGAAAACTTACAAAGTAACGTCCTGTTTCATTCAAGATGCCACCTCCTCCGGAGGCATAATTTACTCCACTTTCCAATATAACTTGCTCACTCAAAGATGGATCCAAGAAAGCTGGTGGCCTTGGGAGACCTGCGCTGTCACCTGTAAACACGATTATCGTACGATAAAATATACAAATATGATACATACATATATATATATATATATATATATATACATGTTACCTATTATATCAGCAACGGTCCGGCCATTGTGAACCTCCCATTAGGCAGACCGTTGCCAAAATCAATGCCATAATAAGGCAAACTCGCCTAAGCCAGGCTCATATTAAGGCGATTGATGTTACCGACGTCGGACAAGGAATCCCCAAAAATGAACTGCATGACCTTGCCGTTACAACCGCAAACGGCGGCTCCGACAAGGCTCGCAATGAGTAGCAAATTCAGTGCTGTGTTGAACTTCATTTTTTTTTTGCTTGGTGTGTTTTTTTGGGTGTTGTGATTTGTGAAGTTTAAACCATAAGGGAAATTTCACTGTTGAAAGGAACGTGTTTATTACACAAAGCAAGAAAACTTAGAATATTTTTGTCCGATGAACCAAGCGTTTTTCTTGTAGGGTTTTCAGAACTCACTTTAACCAACCCTTTTCTTGTCACATGGTATTCGAATGTGCAATTTGATTAGCGGCGATTTGATTGGAGACAGGCTTGGTGTTGCTAAGAATCGAGTGTATCATATAAGATTTAAATGAGACTAATATAGATCATCAACTACTCGAAATCGACTCAGTCAAAATTTGATAAATACTTGATTCGAGCTTGAATTCGACTCGAGTTTTTAACGAGCCAAAATAAGCTATTTAATACTTGACTCGAAAAGCTCGCCAGCAACTCGGAAATATAATAAATTAAAATTTTGTTTTGTAAAAAATAAATTATTAACAATATTTTTATGTATTTAAAGTTCAGATTGTTTAAAAAAATGCAGTAAAAGATTTTCATGTATTTAAGGTTCGGATTTGAGTTTGAGTTTTAAGCTCCCATCGAGTTAATGGTTTTGAGTTTTTACATTTCGAGTTTTTACGAGTTTCAATTAATGGTTTCGACTTTGATTCGAGCTTGAAAATTTTAGGGTGCAGGTTTTCGAGTCGAATCGATTCGAGCTCCGTTTTAGAGTTTTCAAATTAAATCAAACTCAACAATACTCGAGTTCAACTCGTCCCATTTCCGGCCATAGTACCATATCCTTGTTTAATTATCGTTTTGAAAATATTTGTTTAATATTATGGGTTTTTTTTGGTTCAAGATTTAGCTGAGTTTACGTAACATATTCAGTTTCTTGCATGGGAGAATATTGGAGCCTGCTCCTTCAAATGTTGGGCGAGAATCTTTGTCTACATAAGATTTAAATTTTAGGCCGGATCGAAAATATTTTAAACTCGAGTCGAGTGAGTTGGATTGACCAAAAACATGTCTGGTTACCATTCATATGTCACATTGTTTCCAAGGCCTACAGTAAGCTTGAAACTCGACTCAAATTCGAGTGATAAGCTCTTTCAGAATACTGTTTTACATTCACAAGATTTAAACTCGAGATATTTATCGAAAGATCATTGAATTTCTTATTATTCGATCCAACCATCATTATATGTATATGTGTGTGTATATATATACATAAAAGGTTGGGGAAAATATTGTTAAGACTTTGGGTGAAACAATAGTTGGATGGATCGCTCATTTTACAAGTTCAGCAAATTAAAGAAGAAAACTGATAAGATACGTTTGGTAGGATTTGTACAAAACAAAAAATAATATTAATTTAATCTTAGCTAATAATATTTTAAATTTAATTTAACTGATATTTATATCATAATCATATGCTCGAATTAAGTTTATTTATATTTACATCACAAAAATTGTTTAACGTTAGGGTAAAATTACAAATGGTCCCCTGATTATATGGTAATGCTTTATTAAGTCCCTCGACTATTAAAAGTTACAAAATGGTCATACGATTATTTATTATATTCCAAAATAGTCATTTTCCATTAAAAATGGATGGTATTTTAAGTTGAACGTTAATCTGTTGATTGTGATATGATAAAATGTTATCCTAGAATCTCAAATGACTATCATATATCAGTCATTATGTTAACGTCGAGCTTAAACAACCGTTATTTTTTAATGGAAAAGGACGAGTTTGAAATATAATGAATAGTCGGGTAACTATTTTATAGCTTTTCAGAGTCAATGGACTTCACAAAGCAGCATTCTATAG